GACATTTGATCCAATTCTGGTGCATCGAGGAGAAAAGTAAAAGGTGTCAAAGAACTGGCTGCCAGTTAGGACCTCTAATTTTTGTTGATATTTAATCTACTTTTTCACATTTGTGACTTCTCTAGGACCACTTCAGTAAGTTTAGCTTAAACAATAACCAGACTAATGACATTAAGCAAACTACATAAAGGCAAAATTGTTGTTAATATTCAAATTAGAATATATAATTTTAATTATGTTATATGTAATTAAAATTATGAGCAGATGTACATATTCATTCAAAAAGTTACATATATCTATGGACTCTTATTGAACAATTAGGGATTTTGAGGGTCACCAAAGATACTTTGCAATTCTACAAAAATTATCTATGCCACCATATGCTGAAGTAAATAACCAAAAATCTTTTCACTTATCCTGTCTTGGTGAAAAGGTTTTTGTTAAACATGACTAAGCCAACTGCTGAACTGGTCATGTGGATTACTTTTGCGTCTCCATATATCAAACATATGTCTTGGGGCTCTGTACTATCATACAATAACAAGCAAATGAGCTGACATGATACACAAGCAAACACAAGATGCCAGACTACATAATGATAGTCTCTGCAATAACGTTTTCTTACATTGTAAGATATTATGTAGGTCGATACACGGGCCTCGGCAACGTAGAACTAGTGAGATTACAAATCAATGTCTATAGATAGCGCACACGGAAGGCGTCTGCTACAATCCGATTGTTTACACTGACGGGATTCGTTTGTCCTCGTCAATTCATACTGTCCATATATTGTTTTTTTCATACATAATTCAGAACAAATAATATTATACAACATATGGTCCTACACTAGGTAGGTTTTTCATAGGAGAATCCTTCATTTTTCACGAATACAAAGAAGTTCCTGCTTTATTTATGGTGTGGACAGCAGCCATCTTGATTGCACGAGAATCGCCTCGACAATCAAACCTCCTCATGAATCGCCTAGTCCAGAGACCTTTCAAGACAAAAACAAAGGGGACATAAAATTGTGTTATACTTACATCGTACTTTGAATTCGTTGATTTCCAGGTCGGGAGTTTTCCGTGGGTCATTGATAAACGCTCCAAGAAACACGTGCGGAAGGCAACTGCAATCTAGAGCACGATACAGCGAGCAAACAATAGAAGGCCGCTTAGGTCGACAAAGGATCGATTGGGCATCCGTCCAAAGTGTCGCAGATCGTTAGTGCTAACAAGTTTTAGGGCGAGCAGATGGCGCGAACCTAAAACTCGCAATCTTTAGAACAATATATCATACATGAGCATGTATACATACTGTCATTGAAAGTTGTGCAAAGTTACAATGATTATAGGCATACAGAACATTGAGTTTTCCTTTTCCTTTGTATTTGCAGGGACGTACAGGGTTAAGTTTACTAGGGACAGCATTATATTGTCCCTGTCACGGATTACCATGATTACAAATGCATGCCAAAAAAAGAAGGATTGTTATTAAAGCAAGAACTTTGAGTGGAATCTGTCCCGTAGCAACGGTTTCAAAAAGTGTGGGTGGGGGCAACTTCCCCAAAAATCTGACAAGCAAAAAAAAAAAAAAACTTAAACTGACCAAAAAGGGGGAGGCTTCCCAAAATAATCTGACAAGCAAAAAAAAACCTAAACTGACCAAAAAGGGGGAGGCTTCCCAGAATAATCTGACAAGCAAAAAAAAAAAAATTATAAACCTGTCCAAATCCTGGAATTTGCCAGTGCTCGACCTAGCTTACAGCAACAAAAAGTGGGGGGGGGATGCATGAAAAGGAAATTTTACTATAGCAAAATACTATATACTCAGATATAGCTGTATTGTTCTGGACTGGTGAAAAAGACATTTTTAAAGATTTTTTTTTTCTTTTATATGAAATATATATGGAGACAACGAACAGTATTCAAGCTCAAAAGTCCATTTAAACAATACAAATCAGGAGCAGAGCAAACATGGATCTCTAATGCATCAGAGGTGGGATCAGGTGCCATGGAGGAGTGAGCATCCCTTGTCGACCGGTCACACCCGCCGTGTGCTCGTTGTCATGATCGGGAAATAACGGAAAAATCCGTAGACAATTCAGTGTTTAAATAATGGCCTAACAATTAGTATGAAAAACGTCAGTGAAGCATTTGAGTTAATTATAGATTGTATTTGCTGACAAGATCATTGTATTGACCGTAGAACTTACGAAATGATGACTTTAAATAATGCTGGCATAATAGTATGGTTTATTTTGCGGTCCTGTTATTTCTTATATATAGAAGATTTTTTTTATCCTACACATTCACATGTAAAACGTTGAATCAGATCCTCTATTGCTCCACCCAATCCCCAAGAGCCATAATTTGCATTATAAACAAATTATGCAAATTAATCTCTAGCCCTCTATGCTCACGAGGTAAAATAGCCAGATATATTTATACGTATCATTATTTTTCATATGTCCATGCAAAGTATGTTATAGCCAGGAAAGAATTTATTCAATGATTTTTTTTTAATATTTGATAAAATATTTCAGATATATACTCGTCTTATTATGGGGGATAGATTCACTGAGTGCTACAGAGAATGATCGTCTTTTCTCTTTTGTTCAAACATGCATTTCTTCTTCTTCCAATAAAGTACTGATCAGAACATGCATTTATTTAACATTCTGGTAGATTTCCTTGATAATATTAATAAATATACCAGCATAATGTATATACTGAATTACTTACATGTATCTACATAATGAATTGATTTGTAAATTTTGCAAATATTTTATACTTTAAATCTTCATATGTAACTTTGACTTAATCATGGCTTAATTTAGATTTTTAATATACATGTACATGTAGGGAGAGGGCGACGTATGTAGGGAGAAGTTTTTAGATCTTGTGCCCAATCCCTATGTAGTTATAAATTACAATGAACTAGATTCATTTAGACATACCCGGTAATTTTTTATGCCTTGTAGCCCCACCCTACCGGAACAAACCTGAATGTGCATTACTGAGGATGCTTGCATAATAGATCTAGAATATGACTAATCAATTTCTTTAATAAAAAAAAAAGCCATTTTAAATTTTTATGCACATATTGTGACCCTAATCTATATCCCTGGGGGTCATGATACTGGAACTCAATGTAGATTAAGCTTTTACATAAGTTTGGTCTTTTCTCGCCTAGTTGTTCTTAATTATATGGCCCTGTGCTGTTTTGCTATTTCGCTTGAGATAATGCGTGGCTTTTAATCTGAATTCTTTAATTTTAACCTAAGGATGTTTTGTGGCAAGTGTGTTTAAAATTGGTTCTCTGGTTCTGGAGAGGATTTCGAAAATGTTAAAAAGACCTAAGACGGATGAATGTTAATCAGAAAAGCTCACCTGAACCTTGGGGTCCATTGAGGTAAAAAAAAAACACACAAACAAAACAAAACAAAAGAAAAAAGAAAGGAAAGAAAGAGAGAAGCAAGTTTTGTTTTCTCGTATACTGATGTGGGAAAAAATAAGAATATATACAATTTTGTAAAAATATCAAGAAGCCATTTCATTTTACAGTATTATATGATTGAATAGTTAAATAACCCTCTAATTAGCTGAGATCCAACGTTGTAGAAATCAGAGTTATGTCAACCTGCACCAGACCTTCAATATACAGGTGCACAAAACACTTATTCATTTTTCTACATTGGACCAAAAAATAGAGGTGAGACTTCAACAAAGACGGCAAATATCGCTCGAACAGATGATACAAACAATCTTTAAAATGTATCAAAAATCGTGAGAATTACAACTAAAATCATATTTATATAAGTAAAATGAATAAGTTTAACCGCACATATTTTATTTTTTCATTTAAAGTTTCACAATAATAGGAGTTAAAGTGACAAAAATTAATTTTAAGATTAATAAGGATGGTTATAGAAAAGTGGAATTTTGAACACCGTAGAAAGTTTACAATTTCCTAATATTTTAGAAATTTATTCTTCTGATCATTTACAACCAAAACAGGTATAAAAAATGTATGAATGAGAATGGTCCGACCAAGTAACGTCAGATTTAACTTGTATAATGGAAGTCAAAGTTCAAATGGTTATCATTTTGTTTGATAGTACATATATTTCCGTTGAGAAAAACCTTACCTCAGTATTGTATCTTCGTGTTCTAGTAAAATCTACATAAATTGCTTTGTCTAAATTGCCAAGGTGGAGGGGGGGGGGGGCTTTTAGTAGCCTCCAACATGTTTCAAAAATACTTGAAGAGGAAGGATTACCGACAAAAATACTGTATTTATTTATTTATTTATTTATTTATTTATTTATTTATTTAAAACATAGGCCTTTGGATTTTTTCTTCGATGATCGAGAAATAACATAGAAAAACCTTAAGCTTTTGAAAAAATCTAACTGACTTTGTAAGTACATTAAAAAAAAGGAGGGGGTAAAATTAAAAAATTCATTTGTTTTGTAATCAAATATTTTATAAGATATTTTTCAATATATACGTATTTTGAGTTCAGAATGATGATAAGAAATTGTATGTGTATTTTTTAAAAAGGACACACAATGCCTCTTTAAATATACACAGTACTTTTTTTTTTCACAAGGGGGTTAACCCCCCTTTTTTATCCATCATTTTATTTGGAAAGCTTGTAAGTTTATGAAGAGTTTTTTTTTAAACTTACTTTCTTGTGTATATTTTTTCAAGGCCTCTTGAGCATGTGTGGCCCCAGGGTTATGACGTGACATCAGTTAAAGTATCCACCCACGAAATTGCTTCTGGCATTCACCGGTACAGTTTCATTTATCATGTTTATGATGTTTATAACCAAAAAAAATCTCGTAAAATTCATTTTAGAATAAAACTTCAAAAATTTACCACAGATATCGTATTGTCGTCAGATTTCCCCCCCCCCCCCCCCCCGGTATCTGTCTCAGTGACCGATGTACGAACGTTCCTTTGGATCCACTCCTATTTGAGTTACCATTCTTGACCGGGAGGCGTCGCTGTTTCCAAACGTCACGTCTATTCTTGTGTGAAGACCTCGTGAAAATGGCAGACACAAAGCTCTATGACATTTTAGGTGTGAATAAGAATTCTTCAGACGGGGAAATTAAAAAGGTAACACACAATGAATGATAAAGACGTGTAAATGTATAGATGTAAATTTTTATTTCTGCGATCAACAGTTCCCCGAACAAACCACGAGGTTCACGGAAGTTATGGTTCTTGAATCCTACCGGAATCCTTTTCTAGAAAAATCAAATTACATTCAAATGGCGTTTTTGTTAATTAAGCTGAGGTATATGAATAATACTTAAATAAAACTGTCGTTATATACTTTCATTATACTTTTAATAATTAGATTTTAGTCAATTTGTGATAAAGCTTTATGAATCGGTGCATTTTGATTGGCACATTTTTTAACCCGTAGTATTTCATCAGTAATGATGATGACTGAGAATTATGGGTCTACAACTATAATAGCTCTGTGTACCATGATGTTTGCTATAGTTTAATAAGTTAAAATCAGTAAAGTGTAAGTCATTCAAAAATTGTAAGATCCGAGTATTTTGCATTTAGACCCTATACGTTCAATCAGTACTAAGCCCGGTATGTTTGGTAGCAGAATTCAGCAAAGGTTAACAGCAAATATGCTTATAATAAATTCATGCTTACAGCAAAGTGATTTTCATTCAAGTTTTAAAATTTGTTGTTTTGCCTCGGACTAGAATGACACTTAACAGCTTTGTTATTGGATAATAGACTTCACCTACAGATCTCTGCTGAGATTCACCTTGGCTAGATATTTGGACTAGCCCCTTTTTACCAAATTTATATATGGACAGTCCTTCCTAATTTGATCAAGAATGGAAATTCACACTCAACTTCAGCCAGTTCTAGGCAACTATTGTTGAGAACCTAGTGACACTGCTGTTTAGTGCAAATGTGTGATTTGAATGTTCAAGTAATTCTCTATCACCATGATGAATTTTAATACTTCACTGCTTACAGCTTAAGTATCATTATCACTCTTAACTTGTAAATACCAAAATGATAACAAATTAAATGTATACATTAGTAAGTGCAGAATTGACTAGGAATTGTGTGACTACCCTCCAAGGAACTGAAGTTTAATTGGGGTTTACTAGTTAAAGTTGTTTACAATTGGACATTGATGAGTTATTCATGATATTTATTGGTCTGTTCAGACTGATTAGCCTCAGATTTTATTAGTCTCAATGAAAATTTATTAGTCTTAGACTAAAGATTAACTTTGAAACCTTAGAATGTATAAAGCATATCACTGCATATTGAATGTCCAAGCTATTAATAAAATTGTAATAGTATTAAACTGTATGGCTATTTATGCATATTATATTGCCTTCTGGTAGTTGTTTTTCTTAATTAGTACTTGCAATAAGAAGAAATATTGATATAACTTTCTATTCAATTTTAGGCCTACTACAAGTTGGCAAAAGAATATCACCCAGACAAAAACCCAGAGGCTGGAGAAAAGGTAAATTACAATAAGCAAAAAAATTGAATGTCAAGTAATAAATATATCTTCTCTTGTGATCAGAACTTTTTTTTTAATATAATTTGAGTATGGTGAATAGATCTTGATCTCTTAAACTAGAAGTAAATGTGACTGAAGGTCTCTCATGGTATTGCATATTGTGTTGTAAATCTAGAAAAACATTTTAATTGAATTAAGTTATGAATTCTGGAAGAAGAAGAAATCTCTTGAAAAAAAGTAGAATTAAAAGGAATGTTTGTGAAGGACCCAGCAAAAAGAAATTGAACTTTAGATGGCAATTTAATTTTTCTTGCAGTTCAAGGAAATTAGTTTTGCATATGAAGTTTTGTCAAACCCAGAGAAGAAGGAAACATATGATAGATATGGTTTACAGGGCCTCAAAGAGGGAGGTGGTGGACCAGGTACATCAACATTCCTAAATAATTATCAATTAGTGGTTCTGTTGATCCTTAATGCCACTCTTACAACAAGAAATGCTTATCAGTATAGAAAACTTTGAAATTCATTTCTGTATCATTAATTATTGTATGAAGACATTGAAGTAATTAATTGAATTTTTGTCTGTTTTCAGTGCTTCTGGTAATCAGATATGTGTTTGTTTTACAGGTGGCTTCCCGGGGGACATTTTTGGAGATCTGTTTGGAGGAATCTTTGGCGGGGGAGGTGGACCATTTGGAATGGGAGGTATGGGTGGCCGGCGAGGCAGGCGCAGAGGAGAAGATACTCATCATCCACTTAGGTAAAATATAAACATAGCTGATAGGTAGATAATAAACACAGATAGGAAGTAACACATAGGTAAAAAATAAACACACAGATAACATTGCACTCTGAATAAAAGTTACCAACTAAAAAACAGAGATCATTTTGAATGCAAAGATCCCTCAGTTTCGTAACTGCATACAGTGATTATTTTTTTGTTTTTTAAACCACCACCCCCTCCTTTTGAATTGGGAAAAATTAGCGACATTTTCCTCAAATTGGGAAAAATTATTTATAGTAAATTAGAATGCTAAAAAGTACATAAAATAATCAAACTATTGAGTAACAACAACAGATTTTGTTTGATTTTAACTTTAAATTTGATTTAAATTTATAATCATTTCGAAAAAAAAAAAATAACCAGCACTTAGACTCATAATCTAGTAAACTGTCTTATATTGATAATAAAGTTTACAGTCTTTACTGTTTGTTTTTTTCCTGATTTTAGTGAAACACTATGTGTTGTCCATTTCCTGTTATTAGCCTGACCCTCTATGTAATAATGGCGGTCAAACCAAAATCATTATGTCAACATGCAACATGACTTGTATCTGGGAACTACTTAACAATTCACTGAGAATATTATAAGCTACTTATTTGCTTATATGGATATCTGCATTGTTTTACACATTCATTAAAAAAATTCGCTGCATATCCATGGATTTGAAGAATAAAAACGTATTTACTCTGTCGGCAAATTTAGTGACTTTTGTTCAAAATTAAAACATAATTTTCGTATGTTTGAAATTGGGAAAAATATACTAATAATTGGGAAAAAATAGCTAATTTTTGTGAGGGGAAACAGCCAAATATCGGTAGCATTTCAACCCAAAAAAAATCACTGGCATACAGTTGATATTTTGAATGAGGGGTCCTTAATGCCCCCATTAACAGGCACACTAGATTCAATTCCCCATCGCAATATTCCAAATTATATGCATGTTTCATTGATAGTCACTTTGAAATTGAATCAAATTATGTTCATATGTTGCAGAACACATCTATTAACATTTTAGAACTGAATTCTGAATTGTAAAATTGCATAGATAGAATGTGTTCCCCTTTTTTCCCCAAATTGATAATAGAGTATACAGAACTCACAGTCTCTGTTTTTTTTATAGGAAGAGAATAGGGCAAGTCTTTTGTCCTTCCTAATTTCATTGTTTTCTGCATTACAGTTGATTAATTTACTTGGGTAATATGGATGAAAAACTCCTTTCCCATGATTGCCAAAAATAATTAAACTATAATTAAAAAAATAAAATTATGTGGATTTTATTCTTGCTTTCAGTAGTCAACTTTATCTGGAATTTACATAAGTTAATTTTTTTTTCTTCAGATGTTCAATTCATTGATTAAACAATTGTTCATCATGATGTCATTTCAGAGTGTCCTTAGAGGATCTGTATAATGGAAAAACAGCCAAATTACAGCTTAGTAAAACAATTATCTGTTCCAAATGTAAAGGGTATGTATGCTTATACCCATTGTCAGTGAAGTTAATTACATAAGTCAGAGTGATACATTGTTCAGAAGGAAAATTGTTGTAAAGATTCCTTATATTTTTTAGACATATTTAATGAGGTACGTGTATGATCATTATAAAAGAGAGAATGAAAGTCTGACCCAACAGGCTCTATAGCAATAAATTGTAAAAAAAAAAAAAAAAAAAAAATAAAGTTTGATAAGTGATTTGGTCATTATGTATACCCAAGGATTACACTGTGTCAAGGAATATCTGACGAGTATGTTGTATTGTAGAGCTGGTGGTAAACCTGGGGCCATGCAGAAATGTCGGACATGTAATGGGCGGGGTGTGAAGGTCACCTTGAGACAGCTGGGTCCGGGAATGGTACAACAGATGCAGTCTGTCTGTCCAGATTGTCACGGCGAAGGTACACTGTGATAGATAACAATGGTGTGAAAAATCATTGTGAAAATTTAGCTTCTCTTACTTTAATGTTTACATGAAATACATGTCTGTAATGTTTAAATGTGTATAATGCAGTAGGAAAACAATGGGAACGGCTCCTGGATGCTTGTTTTACCAAAAGATTCAAAGGTGTCCTTAATTAAATAAGATTCTTCTTTGCCTTTCAGCCTTCTTAGCTCACCTGAGTCAAAGGTCCATTTAAGCTCTCATGATATAAGTTAGTAGAAACAAAGGGCTGATTTCATTCAGTCTTGGCAAAAAGGATGCTTATTAAAGGAAATTTAGTTTTATTCAAATGAAAAGCCATGTTTTATTTATGGGAAAGATAATTTTGAATAGTAAAATAAGAGTGATGACATAAATTCATAATTGATATGTCCTCTTTTTGGCTAAGATTCAAATTTATTAAAACCATGACCTCTGAGATTTTGCTAGGCCCACAAAAGAATTTAAAGTTTTGAATAGGATGAAATGGAATAATGAGATGGAAAATGCCTGTTAATGGGGGTATTTAGGACCCCTCATTCAAAATATCAACTGTATGCAGTTATATGAAACAGAGGGATATTTATATTTGTTTTTCAACGTGTACACCATACATGCCACGAATTGGGTTTTGATATGATTCATTATTTCACTATAGAAAACTTGACTAAGACTTAGGCACTCTTTATGGCACATAGGCCTCTCTTTAATGCATTTTGGAGGATTTTTTTTTTTCATGCTTAGACAATATTTTACTAGCTCAAAAAATTTTAATGTTCATATAAAAATCCATTTTTTCCTAACATAAATCCCATTTTCTAACTAAATTGAAAATAAAATAACCCAGATCAAGTACATTTATTTTTAAAGGAAATAAGTCAGTACTGATAAGTCCAAAATTGAGTGTGTTGTGACCAGCAAGTTTGTCCTAACTTTGCATGTCAGACTTTCACCAAATAAATTATCCTTTTTTATTGTAGGTGAAATCATAAATGAAAAAGATAGATGTAAAGAATGCAAGGGAAAGAAAGTGACCAATGAAACCAAGATCTTGGAGGTCCATGTCGACAAGGGTATGAAGGATGGCCAGAAGATTACCTTCCGAGGGGAGGGAGATCAACTGGTAAGGCATCTATAAATTTTAAAAAAAAAAAAAAAAAGGGAGGGGGGGGGGGGGTCTGACACTGGTGACAAGTTTAAATAATTTTTTTCCTGTTAATGGGACAGGGGTTTAATTTTTGCCTTAAGCCAGCAGAACAGTTGATAGTAAAATTTTTTCATATAGGATGAGCATAGATAATGATGTACACTGCTTCCCATGTAAATTTTTCCACAACTTAATAATTTAATTGCAGAGATTCTTGCTATTCATAGAAATGTATGTGATTTGTATTTGGTTTTGAGTAAATGTATATCAATCTTGGAATGAAATGCTTTATTATAATAATTTCTCTAATGGATCACAATTGAACTTTCTTAGGGTACATAACTAAATCTATGTCTTGATCTATGTGAGTTTATTGTGACGATTTTTTTTTTAAAGCCAGAGATAGAACCAGGGGATGTGATCATTATCCTGCAACAGAAAGAACATGAACTTTTCACACGCAATGATAATGACTTGTATTGTACATATAACCTTTCATTGACTGAGGCATTGTGTGGTTTCCAATTCACATTAAAACATTTGGATGGAAGAGATCTAGTGATTAAAAGCCCCCCGGGAGTTGTTGTTAGTCCAGGTAGGTTAAAACCTGTCATAAGTCCCCCACAAGTTGTTGTTAGTTCAGATAAGGACAGAGTTGTTTTCTAAAGCCACTGCTTTGGAAGTTTGTTGCAAACTTGGTGTTTAAAGATTTCAATCTTACATGTAATTATAAAAGGAAAGAAACAGGAGTGGGAATAACTTTTCCAGAAATATACTTGTAGGAGCTTCCTCAAGTTAGTGATTTAACAATTTTCTTTTATGTGAAAGATTTAGTGAGTCACATTTAAAGTGAAACATTGGTTAAAGCCAGAGGATCAGTACCTGCATTAAAAATATTAACTTCAGGATTAGTGGAAAGAGTATAATAACTGCTGTATTAAAGGCCAATACAATGTCTTACAATCTATTTTCAGGATCAGTACGATGTGTTATGGGAGAAGGAATGCCCTTCTACAGAAATCCCTTCGAGAAGGGGAACCTTCTTGTTAGGTTCGATATCACATTTCCACCTCAGAACTTTGCCCCTCCAGAAGATTTACAGGTTAGTTACCAATTTCTTAGGAATCTGTTATCCAACACATCCTAGCAAGTCTAAGAAAGTTTGTTACACCTTCTATCTGTGTTAGATTTCTGATTTAAATTATTAGAAAACACATATACCTGTTAGACCTACATGTATATAATTACATGATGGTCAGAATAATTTAAGCAAGTCTTAAACAAGAATAAATTTTCTTGACAGAAACTAGAAAAGTTACTGCCACCAAGACCAAAGATAGATATTCCTGCAGGAGAGGATGTAGAAGAAGTAACTCTGGTTGAGTTTGAAGAGTCGAGAGGTCATGGCTCCCGACGGGAAGCCTATGATGACGACGATGATGATGACCATCATGGACATGGACCTAGAGTTCAATGTGCACATCAATAACGATGAGACATTTTAGGAGAATTTTTAAACTTTCTGTTCTGGGGGGAGTTTTATCCTTTGTTGAACAATTCCGTAATGCTATTGAATAATTCGACCAGTCTATAATTAGAACTTCAACCTTAACCGACACATATAGAAATTTCATGTTAATCAGTAAAGGATATTTCATTGTGACCCAAACCCAACAGGATATTACATTGATGTTTGCATTTGTACGGAAACGGAAGAAAAACTGAGTTTTATATTGGGATTTCTTTGAGTCACAGCTGAGTTCCCCTTCCTGCTGTGGCCTGCTTGTTGAGGTTTTCCAGTGTAATTGTTGTTCTGAATTTTGTCATGTAAGCTTTGTTTTATTGTCTTGTTTTAAATGACTTAAAACCCTGTCATTATTACATGAATTCAGTACCAGCACTTTCATTGTCATTGAAAGCACTTCGTAATTTTACCAACTCCTTTCATACAAAGCTTTAAGGCTAGTAACATGAGGTACATGTTTATCACCAACTCTCTTATGTAAATGGACATACAGTTTTTCAGATTTTAAGTTCATGTAAATGCATATTCAAAAGTGATTTGCAGTTGTTCCAGCTAGAGAAATTTAATGTTAAACATGATAAATTCATGTAATTAAATTGCATTTTCAGATTTCCTTTTGAAAATTAATGTATTTATTAAACAAACATAGAAGTATTCTCATTTTCTAACTGAATAGTGGTACATGTATTTGCTGTGCCTGCCAACACAACCGATGGTGGAAACGGTATATTTGTAGTACCTATAGACCTATATTTCCTGAATGTTCAATGTCTTTCAATTAAATTCTTAAATGACAGCATATATGTATGTTAACAACAAATAGCAAAATGTTGTAGAATGTATTCTAAATCGCATATACATGTATCTGCATGTTTTTGATGAGGACATTTTTAAAAGCTTACATCAGCCTTTTATACATACATGTATAATATTTTTTTTCTTGAAAGGGGGTATCAATTATTTATTCATAGTAAAATATTCTGATCACCATACAATTATAATCTTGCTGACCATGTAATTCCTTATCAGATCTGTGTTAAATTTACATGAAAACCAGGAAAGTGACTATATATACAACATTTTTAGAACACTTTTATTGATTGTTTAGATTTTAACTTGATTGTGGAATGCTGGATTTCTCTTAACTTAATTTCAAGCAATGAAAAAACCTTTATATTTTTCATAAAGAATCTTTAGTACTGGGAAAGTTCGAAAGATTCTAAAGAGTGTAATTATTGGATAGAATTTTCAATTGAGTGTTGATGTTTATCTTCTTATTTGTCAAATAATGTGATGACTTTGAATTCTAATTTCAATGATAGTCTAAACTGTCCCACAATCAGAGACACACACACTTGTATGGAAATTTTTTTCCCATTGCCTTATTATTTTTAAGTCACCTGAGTCACGCAAGTGACTTGCTGCTGTCTGTTATTGTCTCTATTTTGTATAATCTTCTGGTTTTTTTCCACCACAAGCTTTCTTTCTTGAACAGCTGAACTAATTTCAATCAATTTTGGTAAATATCAATAGCATCTATTGGTAAATATCAGTAGCATCTATTGGTAAATATCAATAGCATCTATTGGTAAATATCAATAGCATCTATTGGTAAATATCAATAGCATCTATTGGTAAATATCAGTAGCATCTATTGGGTAAGGGGAGCAAAAAATGTGAATTTCATGATTTATGTTCCATGGGGCCTATGGGATGTAGTCTAAACAATGTCTTTTTAATGCCATCTTCAAAAATTTGTTCACTACTGGACATGTATATTAAAATTGCAATGTGGCTTAAAAAATAGTAAATCTTTACTTCTAGACCCCTTGGTTAAGAGTTAACTATATGACATACCGTTGAAACTCTTGTTTATTCAGGGACATTTAGCAAGCAGACTTTATTCATGGTTTCTAGAAGTTTTTGCCCTTTACCAAATTGGTGAAATGGGTATCCCAAAAGTTGAGGCCCCAGGGTGGGGTTAAATTGATCAGTTTATTTTTAAATATCTTTTTCTACTAATCAACAAGGATTATAGTGAACATAGAGTAGTCGTAAGATTTTAAAATACATGTCACATGAGTACAGAGTTCCAGGAGAAACTCTTGATACTCAGATGCCCTCCAAAGCCCCTGGGCCTCTTGTCGTAATGTCTTATTTTCTTGGTGGTATTAGGAGTTGTATGTCAGCAAGAATAACATCATGATGTGCTTAGTATTCATGGTGAACAAAGAGTTTCAGAGATTCTGTAACATTTAACTCTGTCATGCATCTAAACATTCTCTGACAAGGTCTATACTTTTTCTGTATTGACTTTATAGAACAAAATAAAATGAACTTGAATGAGAGCTGCTTGTTTTAATTTATATGTTTGATTTTGGACTGTAACTTTATCAGTTCATTTACATTAATTTTTGCATAAGGTATAGTCTGAGCAAAGTTAAATGGTTTTGTGGAGTTAACTGCACATTTTATTATAGCATGTCTAAAAATTTTAAAAAAGTGATGCAATAGCATGATTATTAATATGCAACCCCAGGCAGTGCAGATTCAGTTTGTTTGAATACATTCTCAGGCATAGTCTGGGACCACAATGGGAGGTGGCATTTTGTATGGAAATGTAAAGGGAAAAAATCTTCTCAAGAAAAAAATAGAGTCACTTAAAGTTGAACTTTGGTATCTTGAAAACAGATATCTTGAATACCATGGATATGTTGAAGTAATCAACCTTTTATTCGTTAAGTATTTCACTCTTGATATCTCAAATCCTTTTAGATTTCAAAGTTTTTTCTTGGTCTGGCTGATCTTTGTGATAATGAGGATTGACTATATATGTATTTGCAAACTTTCCAAAGTTGTGTGGATTTGATTTCAATTTTCAAGGTTAAAGTTGGGCTAAAATTTGGGATAAAAATTTTAAAATCATGAATTTTAAGCATTTTCATGTGTGGATTCAGATTCAGTGAAGTCAAGACCCATAGGAGTAATAAAGGGTCACAAATTTTCATGGAAGTAGAGAGGGGAAAACTCTTTGTAAAATTTGAAGAAAAATAGCAAGGCTAAGGTCACTTTTTGAATTTGCAGCTGTTGAGTGTTCTTGAAGTTATTGTGCCCCCTTCAAAGGGGGGCATATTGCTTTGAACCTTTTTGTTGGTACAAGGTATGTCGGTAATTTTTGTCCGCTCAATATCTTGAGAACACTTTGCTTGAAATACATCAAACCTTGGTACACTGATATCCTGAAGAGTAGATGACCCCTATTGATTTTGAGGTCACAAGGTCAAGGGTCAAACTCTCAAAGGAAGTTATTGATTCAAGATATTAAAACCCTTTGATTGGTTCCCCTTAAGGTGTAGGAGATCCCTATTGATTTTGTGGTCACAGGTCAAACTGAACATAAGATGTTGACAGCTCAATATCTTGAGAACTCTTTGCTTGATAGACATCAGACTTGAAACATTGGTTCCCCTAAAGGAGTAGGGGACCCTTATTGATTTTGAGTTCAATGGTCAGTGGGTCAAACTGAGCGAAAGATATTGATTTCTTAATATTTTGAGCACCGTTTGCTTGATGGACATCAAATTTGGAACATACCATAGATGACTACTATTGATTTTGGAGTCGCAAGGTCAAGGCTCAAACTGAACATACCTGACTTTTAAATATCTTGAAAACCTTTTGCTTGACAGACATCAAACTGGGAACACTGATTCCCATTGAGGAGTATATGATTGAGGTCACTAGGTCAAGGGTCAAACTGGACATAGGAATATATTAACTTCTCAATATCTTGAGAAGCCTTTGCTTGCCAGACATCAAACTTGGTACACCGGTTCTCCTTAAGGAGTAGATGACCCCTATTGCTTACAATGTATGAGGTCACAAGGTCAAGGGTCAAATTTAACAAACAAAGCAACTGACTGCTCAGTATTTTGAGATAGACATCAAACTTTGGACACTCGTTCCCATTGAGGAGTATATGATTGCTATAAATTTTGAGGTCAAAGGTCAAGGACAAACTTGGCAAACTAGAAATCTTTGCATGTCAGACATTAAACTTGGTACACTGGTTTTCCCTCAGGAGAAGATGAACCATGTTGATTTTCAATTCACAAGGTCAATGGTCAACCAACATAGGAAGATACTCTCAGCTCAGTTTCTTGAGAACCATTTGCTGTACAGACATCAATTAAGGTACAATGGCACCTTCTAAGAAGTAAATTACAACTAATGATATTGAGGTCTAATAGAGATCTAGTTAGAATAATCTAACTGTGTCTTGGGACAAGCCCTCACCACTTAAACTGGGTCCGTAGGACATTTATCATTTTAACGATGGAACATTCTATCTAATAGAGATCAAACTTAGTTCATGTATAATGTTACCCCTGAATGATGATGAATTGTTTTCACTACCAGAAATTCAAAATTTAAAGTTGTTCCCTTTTTAAAATATTTAAGTTTTTCCATATTTTAAAATATTCAAAAATGGGGGACATACCGGTATATGCTTTTCAACATTTCTTGTTCCAAATTATGTTAATGAATAAATATAAGCTGAATATGAGATCCTCAGCATGAAATTTAGAATACAGTAAAACTTTGTTATTACTGATAGCATAGTCCTGGGGTCATGAGAATTTACCTCACTGTATCTGTAATTTGTTATATCTCATCTGAATAACAAATTCGTAAAGTATATAATTATAGCGAATTTGCAATATACATGTTTTCATCCAAGTATGATTACTGAATATGTCCATGGAAGTATAAACTAAATTTACCTTGGATAACTTAATTTTCTTATGAAATGAATTATAAATACTTAAGAAAAAAAAACTCAGTTCAGTTTTTTAGATCTTTGAAAATTCGTTATAAAGATGTAAATTTTGTTATTTTTAACCTCTGCATGACCAAAAATCAGTTTGCTTTATCCTTAAATTCATTATATCAGAGTTTGATATAACCATAAAATTTTACAAAGAATTGTTAAAAATTTTGCCGGAGATTCCGGAAATCTTCAATATGTCCATAAATTTGCTACATCCATCTTCGTACTAAGTGGGTTTTTCTGTATGATGAATTCTTTAAAAAAAACTTCACAAAGCATTGTGGCTCATAGGCCTCCTTTGCTTCAGAAACCTTTATTGAATCAATTCTATAAATTTAGGTTTCTTTTTCAGATTAATGATGATTTTCTCATGATTTTCTCATTAAGAATACTTTAAAGTTTATATAATTTTGCAATAAATACATTTTATTTCATCTTTATAGAACCCATTTCAAATCAAATGTGCATTACAACATACATTCCATACATACTACAGAAGTACATGTATATCATTTATAAATATCTAATAATATTACAGTCTGCACGGTATATATCATAACTTTGAGCTAGCGGAATCAGATAGAGTCTCGTGGTGAAAGTTTGGAATAACCTGACCATCCCCTGCTGAGGTGTTGACCCAGTGTGGTCCTTTAACGAGCATTCTATTCATGACAGGGAATTTATTTGGAAGCTCCTCAATGGAACACTCAATACTGATCGGTGAATTTTCTCCAACTCTGTCAGGGTCTGTGGGATACAACTCGTCACCTGCAAGATAAAGGGGAGGTAAGCAGGGTATTTTGCATCTGTACCTCATGCAAAAATGAATTTATTGAGAATTTAAGAAAATATTGTACTGTGTTACATTTTACAAACAGAAATGCATTCTGGGCCCTGTATCAGGAAACATCTAAGGACAAAATCTTGGTTTTTTTTTTTTTTTTGGCAAAAAACAAAATGATAATATATAAGCCAAAAAAAATGCAACAAGCTGTTGATGTCTGCAGATTAAGTTTCAGTTCACAAGTAATAAATATCTTATAGGTGATTGAAGTTTTGACTTAAGTCTAGGTAGGTCTGTTTCATGATCCCAAAGCCTGGTTTTTATTTAAGATAACCTAGTTCAGATGTGATTTTCCAGATAAACTCTGTATATACTACATGCATTTTTTTTTCTGTGTCTGTCAATAAAATGCAAATAGTAATTTATTTATAAACAGAAATTTATTTGTATGACATCAAGAAGTTGCCACCATTCAAAGTTAATTTTGCATAATTCATGTGCCACACATATCCACATACAACATACCAGGATAGACAACAATTATTCCATCTTCACACACCATTACAACAGGGAAATATTGTTTGACACGGTTTTTCAGTGCCCTTTCCCAGGCAAAGCGATGAAGGTTTTCAACGTTTTGGAAGTTAAGCAGCCTACACACTTCATAGATTTGGGGAGGGGCCAGGCCTCCTTTATACTTGTTGTACACATTCAGCAAAGTGTCAGGAGCTGTCCACTATAACATGAATCAGATTGTTCTCTTTTATGAATTTGATAAACAAACATTACCATTGCATATTCCTTCTTTTAAATCATTTACCTTTAGATGTTTATGGATTTTATTTTTTTTTAAATACAATATTTACAATTACCTGTAAATGTACAGTCTCTTTGTCATCATGCAAAGCTTCTGGAAGATGATCCAGTATACACAGAAAAAAGGCAGTGTCATATCTTCTACCTGATTTCTTTGCATTCATTGACAAGGTCGTAGGGGTCAGCCAGTTAGACCACTCTGAAAGTGACCAGACATCAGGAATCACATTTAGTGTCTGACACATTCTGATAAATTCTTCTGGGTTTCTGTCAACACGTTTACGCCATTCATCACTCTCCAAGTGATAGCTTGTACCAGATATTGGTTGCTGAGGGAAATTATTTTTTAAAGCAGTTTTATCTTCAAATTTTCGTGCAATCAGTACCCCTGATTCTTCAAAAGTTTCACGTATGGCACAAATTCTGAATGCTAATTCACTTGGTATTTGCTCATATTCAGGATTTCGACGCCTACTGAACATAGGGGGACCTTCCCCTGAAACAGTCAGAGATTTAAGTAACTCCTGACTTTCTGATACACCAAACTTCTTATATAAATCTAACCACTCTGTCGAAAAGTCGGCATCTTCTGCAATACCTCCGGGAAACACATAGACATCCGGCATGAACTTGCTCTTCGATGACCTTTTCAGCATCAGTATTTTGTAGTTGTACTCCGACAACTCGGAAGTCACACCTTGAAGCTGCATTCCACCGCCATTAACGAGATTAGGGACAATTTTTGAAGATTTTGAAACTAGCAACAAAGTTGCTGCCTCTCTCCAATGCTTCAAAACAGCTGCCATCATAGAAATAAGCAAGTAAACCTATATACTGAACTTCGGAATTTTATGTTATGTGTGCGTCCATTTTGAAAGTACCCGTATGACACCACACCTAACAACTCGTTCGTATAAGAGGTTTAGATTCTCCAAACTATTTTTATCAATTTTCCCAGAAAGATTAATTTTATAGACTTACAAATAATTAAGATGATTTTCTTGTGAATAAATGATTTTAAAAATTATTAAATTGTGTAATTGACATATGATTTAGATAAAACGAAACAAATATGATTGTCTGTCTTGATTTTTCAGTTTTAGTTTCACTTTCAATTTGGTCATATCTTGTGACACCACTTAATTACATGAGACATATCACCCGCAACGTACATAGAAGATGGCAGCCTATAGAACAGAGTCAGTATTTTTTCACCTCACATTTTAAAAGTTTTATCTCACTGAAGCCTAGGTTTTAATCTTTATGCATGTACAGACGCATAAAAGGTATCGTACATATTGATGATATTTTTGCTGTCTAGGTACTTAAGGAATCACTGTCTAGTTAGTATAGTATGCCAGGGCATCAACGATAGTTGGAAACGTGGGATAATTTGCAGAACGGGCGAAGCCCATTATGCATAAATTATCCCACGTTTCCAACTATCGTTGATGTCCCTGGCATACTCTACTAACTAGACAGTGATTCCTTATATTTCCATTGCATTGTGAAAAAAATTGTAAATTTAGCTTTGTAGACTAATAGATTTAAATTACACGAGGTCTCCCATGTCAATTTAATAGTCCCTGCCCAGTGACGTCAAACACAAAGACAGCCCCACAAGATTAGATAGAATGTTCTATCGTTAAAATGATATTGTCCTACAGACCCGGTTTAATGGAAGAATTCATTCCGTGTATTCGCAATGTAGCAAAATAAACACGGGCGATAACTTGAACTCTGTGCATTTTCTATGAAGAATCCAGAGAGTTCCGAATGTCAACATGGCGTTAAATTTGAAGCGAGGAAAAAACGTTGAGAAAATGAGTTGAATTTTCGTATATATATGGATTAATTTTTAGGTTAAAAGGCATATACAATCTCAAAAAGGTTTGTTATGATTAATTTGGTAGTTATTTTCAGTGCAACTCATTTTGTATTCTTCAGAATCATTTCGGAGTGGATCCACTCCGATTTGCTACATTGCAAGTATATGGGACGTATTCTAACTGTGGTGAGGGTCCCGAGACACAGTTAGAATATTCTAACTACCACAAGATTTACATGCATATTAGGCCTACTTGGCGTCAGACGCTAAGACATACGCACAAGATTTACATGCATATTAGGCATCCTTAGCTCCTGGCCTCTTGCTTGGCGAAATTTGCATTCTGTTAGAATGATCAAGAAATCAAGTCAACTAACTTTCAAAGAGTTATCACACTCTGAGAAAACAAATAGAAATGGAAATATATATAGGATGTACTATCATTAAAATGAATATGTCCAGTCCCAAGACAGAGTTAGCATTCTAACTAATTCCCAGGTATGGTTCACGGTAAGATATTGAAGACATACTTTTTCTGTGTGGGATTAATTTACCATGTTTACATGTAACATTAAATTAGAAAAATGTGACGTGCCAGACCAGGATTCGAACTGGTCCCCAGAATCACTAGTCAGGTGCTTTACCAACTGAGCTTTCTGAGGAAGAATGCAAGAACAACAAAGCAGAGGAACAAGAGTGATAATGTGAAAACTTCTTACTCTACTTTGTTGTTCTCCCTCGCATTCTTACTCATGTTTTCCTACACTCGCACTCTTGCTCTATCACATCTGAGACAAGGAAGCTCAGGAACAGGTGGCCCTCTTGATAAACAAAATTTTTTTATTAATTACTAGGTAAGTTTTGTTATTGTTTTGAACACCTGTCTCTTATACCATGTATTTTCAGGCCAGCATTCTGTCGTGGAGAACACACCTTCAAGGTACCAGCTGAAATGTTCACGGAGAATAGGAAACGTTTGGTAGAGAGACTGAGAGCAACAAAGAAAGTACCTGCGGGGGCATATGTACTCCTCCAAGGTGGAGAATCAGAAACACGACACTGCTCAGACCATGAACCTATTTTTAGACAAGCAAGTTTCTTTTTACTCAAAACAGTGTTATATATACAAGTTGAAGGATTAAGAATCTATAATATAACATTGAACCTTTTTGGTCATGAATTTCATGGGTGAGTTTTTAACAGGAGTCTTACTTCCACTGGGCTTTTGGCGTGGAGGAACCCGATTTTTACGGTGCTATTGAGGTGGACACTGGACGAGGGATTCTCTTTCCACCTAAGCTTCCTGATGTATATGCAGTCTGGATGGGAAAGTAAGTCTTGTTTCTTTCCTGTTTCTTAATAATAATTTTTTTTTCAACTGAATTGAAAGACCAAACATATCTTTGGGTGATCTAGTGTTATTTGTACACATGTCCATTGATTGAATTGTGCACTGTTTAGAGAAATTAAAAGCTAAAGAAATAAAATCTGCCATCAATCCAGTTCTTAAACACATTATACAAAACAATCCGCACAAACTTTTCCTTATTTTATTGTTAAGGAAATTGCAAGTCACATTTACAAGGATTATATCACTTTATTTTGTATCCATGGAAATTCTGCACATATTCATATTTCTAATATTGAATATTAGAGAACTCTAGGGCAACAGATACTTTCTGTGGCTAACAGGTACTTGAAAAATTTCAAAAGCAGATACATGTTTTTCTATTTGTTTATACATTACAGTTATAATACATCAGGTAGTTATTTTCAGACAAATATTGACAGAATTTTGATTAGTATTTTGTTATTTTTAGATGCCTTAGTTACCACCGATTGAAAAATTTCATTTTCAAAGCAAATTTGCAGTACTTGTAGTTTTCCTTGATATCTTCATGTGCTCATCTTATTATCATTTATATTTTTAAGGCATTGGTCTTATTTTTATAAAACAGGTTTATACGCCCCCATAATCAAAGATTTGGGAGCATATAGTTTTTGCTATGCCCATCAATATCTCTGTTTTTCTGCAAAAACATTAACCTTGCCCATATCTTTTGATTGGTTGGAGCGTTGGCTTGCAAATTTCACATGTGTATTCCTTGTGACAAGACCTTTCCTTGGGTACCAACATTTTTTACCTCTTGGCCTTGACCTTGGAGTTTGATCCACTTTAGCAAAATTTTAACAAACTTACCCCCCCCCCCCCCAACAAAAAAAAACTCCCAAAAACTTTAACCTTGCCCATAAATTTTGAATGATTGGTGTTAGGGCTTTCATATTTCACAGGTGTATTTCTTGTGAAAGACTTCTCCTTGGACACCAATAATTTTGACCCTTTGACCTTGATGTTGGAGTTTGACTTACTATTGAAAAACTTAAACCATGGCCATAACTATGGAGCAGTTGGTGCTAGGGCCTTCATATTTCACAGGTGTATTCCTTGTGACCAGACCTTTCTTTGGGTACCAACAATTTTGATCTCTTGACCTTGGAGTTTGACTTGCAATTGAGAAACTTTAATTTTCACAGTCAGCTGCCACATGGGAGCATCAGCTTTTCACAAACACGTCTTGATTTGAATTCAAATTTGTATTTCCTTTGTACTCAGTATTCATATTTGTATGTAGAATATTCTTGTTTTGTGTCTGGAACAACCTTTTTTATAAACATGATATAAAAAGTGTTTTCTGATTCATTAATTAGAAAAGAAAAGGGTTATACTATGATGTAATCAAAGATTATATTTGTCACTGTAGACTTCTAGAACTAAAGGATTTCCAGGTTCGCTATGGTGTGGAGGAGGCTCATTGGGCAGATGATGTAAGAGTTCTTTCCCTGTAACCTCACAACAATTTGTAAAAAAAAAAAAAAATAATATATATATATTAATTTTATATAATTAATAATACACTAATAATTTTCAATATCACACAAACGTTGAATTTATTTTTTCTCAACAGATAGCCAAGATACTGAAAGACAAAAAAGCTTCCCTTCTGCTTACTTTGGTAAGTAGTTCTATATCTAATACTGAAGGTATAAGTATCATGCTGAAATGTCTATGGATTTTGAATCGGATGGTAATGTTATACCCGTCCAATGGTGTATTAAAAGTTATAGGATAATGACATTTTAATCAAGTTTTGCTACCTGAATTTATATAGATGTAATGTATTGAGATTTAAATTCACAGGTTTATAATTTTAAATAATTTTTGCTTTTTCTAAGAAGACTATAATTTTCATCTAACAAATGAAAATCCAAAATAAGCAAAAACAAAATGAAAATTGTACACACTGTAGTATTTGTAATTTTGTATGCAGTTTCATATGTGTATTGAGTAGGCCTGAGTATCACAAGCTACTTAACAATATGATACGCACCATGATCATGATGAGATGGTCATGTGATACATGTATCACAATACAGCTGTCAACAGTTAAATAAACTAACAACTTTAGTTCTTTACATATTTTATCGTTGCTTACTTTCAATTTTATAGAAAATATAGAATATTTCAACACTGTTTACTTTGATAGTCTGTTATGTGTAAATCCATAGTATCAACATTGGAAATTTTTATCTACCTTGTTTCTCCGCTACTTTGGAACATGAAAAATTTGTATACTTCTCAAGTAAGACATTGAAAATTTTAATGAAACAACTATAAAAAAGTTAATTAAAATTAACTTTCACAGTATCAAAATACAGACTTATTAGTTAGCCTTATTATTATCATGAGCCCTTGAGATCAATGTATCAGTCTTTCATTACACTTCTAGTATCAAGTTTATATGTCTAAAAAGGAGATCAAAAAGGACCTGCAATCTACCATGATAACATGAGTATGTGACTGATTATATCAAACAAAACTAAGACCAAAGAAGGGAATGCAAGTTAGGCATAGTTAAGATACAGTAACCGTGTTCTGTAGACATTCCATAATGATTGGTCAGTGCCCACTTCACCCATCCAAACATTCAGAATCTGGACTGAGTTTAATATTTTGTTCCAGCACTGACTTTCTCCAGTCAGGGTTTGCTTATTGTCATTTTTAAATGGACACCACTCATACTTTTTGGTGCATTGTATAGAGTGTTTAGTTGGTATGCAATAGCAGTTACAATTGAGAGGTGTAAAGATACAGTGTTACATTGATCATATTGATGGCTGAGGTATCCAGTACAAGTTCATTTACATTGACTTACCTGAAAAATCTACATACAATCTTTACAAATTTTGTCCTTCCAAAAAGGTGGAAAATAAGGTAGATTAAAAAGAATCTAATGTTGAGACTGTGAATTTACTCATAATAAACTTTGGTAAATGGGGTTGAAATATTCACTGTAATTATATTTTCTAGAATGGTGAAGCTAAGCAACACAAAAATATGTAAAGACATCAGTTAATTCTATTGTTGACAGCTGTATTGTGATACATGTTGTATCTCATGACCATACCATGATACGTATGGTATATTTAGGTAGTTTGCAATACTCAGGCCTATGTACATTTTGTAGTTTTTAAACTGAAAAATATTTGGATCTGCATTTATTTACAGAGGGGTTTGAACTCACTGTTTATTTTTGCTTTACATTTGTAGAGGGGTTTGAATGGCACATTAAGCACTAAACTGTTTCAACTCTTTGAATATTTTGTTGTAGAGGGGTTTGAATGGCACATAAAGCAATAAACTGTTTCAACTCATTGTCTTCTTTATTTTGAGGGGTTTGAGTGGCACATAAAACACTAAACTGTTTCACCTTTTTCTACTTTATTGTAGAGGGGGTTTGAGTGGCACATAAAACACTAAACTGTTTCACCTTTTTCTACTTTATTGTAAAGGGGGTTTGAGTGGCACATAAAACACTAAACTGTTTCACCTTTTTCTACTTTATTGTAGAGGGGGTTTGAGTGGCACATAAAACACTAAACTGTTTGACCTCTGTCTACTTTATTGTAGAGGGGGTTTGAATGACACATTAAGCACTAAACTGTTTCACCTCTATCTATTTTATTGTAGAGGGGGTTTGAATGACACATTAAGCACTAAGCTGTTTAACTCTTTGACTGTTGTAGAGGGGTTTGAACACAGACAGTGGCAAGTACAGTAGAGAAGCAGCATTTGATGGCATCAGTGAGTAAGTAGAGTGAGGGGGAGGGGTGTTGAATTAACAGTTAATAAAAATCAATATTGAATTAAAAGTATTTTCATGACGAATTGTTTTCCCTCTTTTTTCTACAAGAGCATATTTTTTTTTTTGGGGGGGGGGGGGGAATTCAATTATTTGAGAACATGGTAAAAGAAAGATCAATATTTATCTTGGAATTATAACTTGTGCCTTTTATAGGTTCAAAGTTGACAATGCCATCTTGCATCCTGAGATTTCTGAATGGTATGTTTAATTCTTTAATTTTGTGTTAAATGCTGTAAATGTATATAAATAAGTGGGCTTAAAATTATGTGCAATCTTCCTTAACAATTCTTTAATTAGTATATATCAAAAATCAGCACATTCAGAGCCAAGCTTCTAGTAATTTTATACATCACAAGCACTTGTTTCTGTAATAATTTTTTTAACCCATAGTATAATGATAACACAAGGTATCTGACTCTGAATTACATGGAGTACCCCCTCCCCAGAATCGCAGTCATGAACACTTTCAGAGAAAATGCACTGGCAAAGTATTTATTACCATGCATTATCTTCTATGATAATTTATATGGCATACTTGTCTTTATTTTTTTTTTATCTCCGTAAACTGCGTTAAAACTGAAAGTGTACATGACTGAGATTTTGGGGAGTGTTATTATAACATATAAGTATGGGTTAAAAAAAATTGCAGAAACAAGTGCCTGTGATATACATGTATTAGCATGTACTTATAAATTCAAGAAGCAGCACAAAAGGTGCTAAAATATGAACATCTCTAAATTATGTTTACAGCGTGACTGGTTTTGTTTTGTTTTTTGTTTCGTTATGTTTTTCTTATGCCCTACCATGAATATGGACGGGGCATATAGTGTTTGTCATGTCCGTCTTCCGTCCTTCCATCCTTCTGTCTGTTTTTTCGTCGCGCTTTGCATTTAGCTCTGTTCAAAGCTCAGTTTCAAAGAAACAGAGCGATATTTTTATCAAACTTCATATGCTGATACATACTGATGAGAGCTATTCAACTGCATCAATTTTTTTTTTTACCTTGACCTTTCCTTTCACCTTGACCTCACTTTTCTTAAATTAGTGTTTAGCTCAGTTTAAAAAAAACATTCAATATAATGTTATTAAACTTCATATGCTGATACATACTGATGAGAGCTATTCAACTGCATCAACATATTTTGACCTTGACCTTTCCTTTGACATTGACCCCACTTTTCTTAAATTAGTGTCAAACTTCATGTGCTGATACATACTGATGTAAGCTATTCAACTGCATCAATATTTTTTTACCTTGACCTTTCCTTTGACCCTGACCTCACTGTTTAGGTCACCTGAGTCACTCAGGTGACCTATTGCAATCTGTTTTTGTCCGTCATCATGCGGGTGTGCGTCGTGCGTAAACTTTTCACATTTTCGACTTCTTCTCAAGAACCACTGGGCCAGTTTCCACCAAACTTGCCACAAACTATCCTTGGGTAAAGATGATTCAAGTTTGTTTAAATGAAGGGCCAGGCCTTCTTCCAAGGGGAGATAATTAAGAATTAGTGAAAAATTAATGGTATCTTTTAAAAATCTTCTTCTCAAGAACCACTGGACCAGGTAAGATGAAACTTATACAGAAACATCATCAGGTAGTGTAGACTCAAGTTTGTTAAAATCATGACCCCCAGGGAAAGGGTGGGGCCACAATGGACGATCAAAGTTTTACATAGAGATATAGAGGAAAAATCTTTAAAAATCTTCTTCTCAGGAACAGCTAAGCCCTGATTGGTTATATTTATATGGAAGCATCCTCAGGTAGTGTAGATTCAAATTTGTTCAAATCATGACCCCCAGGGGTAGGGCGGGGCCACAATGGATGATCAAGGTTTACATAGAAATATATATAAAAAATCTTCAAAAATTTTTTCAAGAACAGCAAAGTCATGATGAGTCATATTTATATGAAAGGTTCCTCAGGTAGTGTAGATTATGTTTGTTAAAACCATGATCCCCAGGGGTAGGGTGGGCCATAATGGACAATGATTGGTTATATTTACATGGAAACATCAGGTAGTATAGATTCAAGTTTGTTCAAATCATGACTCTGGACTCTGGGGATAGGGTGGGGCCACAATGGACGATCAAAGATTTACAAAAGCTCCTTCTATCAGTTTATTTTATACTCCATGGATCTTCTATGGATTATTGTTTTATACTCAGGCCCTTAAGGCCCTTGGGCATCTTGTCTCAATTAGTGTTTAACTTGGTTTTAAAGAAACCATTCATGATATTTTTATCAAACTACATATTCTTATACACACTGATGTAACCTTTTCAACTGCATCAACATTTTGTTACCTTGACCTTCCCTTTGACCTTAACTTCATTTATTTTAAATTAGTGTTTAGCTCAGTTTTAAATAAACCATTCAAAATATTTTTAGCAAACTTAATATGCTGATATGTATTTGTGAGAACTATTCAACTGCATCAAAAATGTTTGCCCTTGAACTTTCCTGTGACCTTGACCTCACTTTTCTTAAATTTGCATTTTGCTTAATTTTAAAGAAACCATTTAAGATATATTTATGTAAGCTTATGCACTTATAAATAATTTGGTGAGAATTTATCATCTACATCCAACTTTTTAGATTTCAATTTTAAAGAAACTATTCAAGATATTCTCTTCAAATTTCATACACTAATACAAATTTTCATGTTGCATTACTAATATACCCTAGGCAGGGCATTCATGTCCTATGGACATATTTCTAGTTTTTATTAATTTTATAAATTCACAGAATATACATGTGCAGACACCGGAACTTAGCTCTAATTAATGCATTATGCATCTTTTTTGAAATATTTTTTTACTTTTTTGATAGCCGTGTGTTTAAGACAGATTTAGAACTGGAAGTAATGAGGTACTCCAACAGAATTAGCAGTGAGGCCCACAAAGAGGTAAACAGATCAAGTTCAAGTCATTTGCTCAAAATGATATAAATGGTACATGAGGCACAGAAAAACAAAGAAAAACATTTGAACTTACAAAGCAGAAGCTAGTGGATCAAGCAAAGGGTGTTATTAAAGTCTATAGCTAGAGGGAGAACAGACCAAACTTACAAAATGAAATCCACACAAATTCAGATTCAAAAAGATTTAAAAAAACATTTCAATGCAAGTTAAGAGGCCTATAGAATGGTACACAAACACACACAGAATTAATGAAGAGATGATCAGCACACAAACACTGAGGTCCATAAAGATATAAATAGAAAAGATTAAGGGATTAAGTTTCAATAATTGGTATATAATGTTAGCAAGAAGTAATTTTATTGATTTGACAATATCTTGCATGATGACTCCTACCCCTTAAGACCTAATAGTGCTGAATGAATTTTTCATGATATACAATTAAAGCGATCTCATTACCCTAGCGAATTATGCCAAAATTGAATCCTTGCTAAATATTGTGCTTCTGTGTTATGCAGAACTATTTGTAAAATGATATCTATGATAAAGTGCCTATATTATTTGTCCCCCGCTTAACACCCCCTGGGGACATTAAATCTCATTCTTCTGTCTGTCTGTCAGTCTGTCCTCTGTCAGTCTGTCTGTCATTCTGTCACAAAAACTTTAACCTTGGTCATAACTTTTGAATGAGAAGAGTTCAAGAGTTAGGGCTTTTATATTTCACTTGTACATTACCTGTGACAAGATCTCTCTAAATATACTTTGATTTTTGACCCCATGACCTTGACCTTGAAGTTTGACCTACTTTTCAAAAATTTCATCTTTGCTTATAACTTTAAATTAAGAAGAGATAGGGCTTTCATATTGTATATGTTCATTACCTGTGACAAGACCCTTCCAAATATGCTATGATTTTTAACCCTTTGACCTTGAAGTTTGACCTACTTTTCAAAACTTTTAACATTACTTTTAATTTTATAAAATTTGAATGAGAAAATTTAGGGCTTTCATATTACACAAGTACATTACCTGTGACAAGTCCTTTCCAAATGTACTATGGTTTTTGAACCTGTGACCTTGAATTTTAAACTACTTTTCAAAAATTAAATCTTTACTGTTAACTTTTGATTAAGAAAAGATAGGGTTTTCATATTCGACATGTACATTACCTGTGGCAAGACCTTTCCAAATATACTATGATTTTTGATCCATTGACCTTGAAGTTTGACCAAAATAGTTAATAATGGCATCCCATCCACTAAGACACCAAAAGCGGGTGACCACAATTCTTTGAATTTTTAGGTCACCTGAGTCACTCAGGTGACCTATTGCTATCCGTTCTCGTCCGTCATCGTGCGTTAACATTTGAACATGTTTAGCTTCTTCTCTGAAACCACTCAACCAATTTCAACCAAATTTGGCATATAGCAGCTATGGGTGAAGGGGAACAAAATTTTTGAATTTCATGGTCCCTGCCCCCCTGGGGCCTGAGGGATGGGGCTAAAACCACCAAAAATAATGCAATCTTTAAAATCTTCTTCTTTACTCCTGGACATCAAGCAGTCAAACTGTTGGCATCATTGTAATAAGCATTGAGCCCTCTACCAAAATTGTGAAATTCATGGCCCCAGGGTCAGGGGTTCTGGCCCCAGGGTGGGGCTATATAGATCATATAGTGAAAGTGCATTATTTCTTTGAAAATCTTCTTCTCTGCTCCTGGGTATTAAATAAGGTAACTAAGTACATATTTATGAAAAGCAAGAGTGCCTCTTCCAAAATTATGAAATTCATGGCCCCAGGGTCAGGGGTTCTGGCCCCAGGGTGGGGCTATATAGATCATATAGTGAAAGTGCATTATTTCTTTGAAAATCTTCTTCTCTGCTCCTGGGTATTAAATAAGGTAACTAAGTACATAGTTATGAAGAGCAAGAGTGCCTCTTCCAAAATTTTGAAATTCATGACCCCAGGGTCAGGAGTTCTGGTGTTAGGGCGGGGCTCTATTGATTATATAGTGAAAATGCATTGATTCTTTGAAAATCTTCTTCTCTGCTCCTGGGTATTAAATAAAGTAACTAAGTACATAGTTATGATGAGCAAGAGTGCCTCTTCCAAATTGTGAAATTCATGGCCCCGGGGTTAGGGGTTCTGGTGTAAGGGTGGGGCTCTATAGATTATATAGTGAAAATGCATTAATTCTTTGAAAATCTTCTTCTCTTCTCCTGAGTATTAAATAAAGTAGCTAAGTACATGTACATAGTTATGATGAGCAAAAGTGCCTTTTCAAGAATTGTGAATTTCACCTGGGTCAGGGGTTCTGGTGTTAGGGCGGGGCTCTATTGACTATATAGTGAAAATGCATTAATTCTTTGAAAATCTTCTCCTCTGCTCCTAGGCATTAAGGTGATAAACTAAGTACATAGTTATGAGGAGGAGGTGGGCCCCTTCCAGAATAGTGAAAGCCATGGCCCTTGGGTCAGGGGTTGTGGTGTTAGGGCGGGGCTCTATTGATTATATAGTGAAAATGCATTCATTCTTTGAAAATCTTCTTCTCTGCTCCTGGGTATTATTTAAACAAACTAAGTGCATGGTTATAATGCATAAGGATGCCTTTTTAAAAATTGTGAATTTCATGGCCCCATGGTCAGGGGTTCTGGTGTTAGGGTGGGGCTCTATCGATTATATTGTGAAAATGCATTGATTCTTTGAAAATCTTCTTCTCTGCTACTGGAGATTATTTAAACAAACTAAGTGCATGGTTATGATGCATAAGGATTCCTTTTTAAAAATTGTGAATTTCATGGCCCCAGGGTCAGGGGTTCTGGTGTTAGGGTGGGGCTCTATTGATTATATAGTGAAAATGCATTGATTCTATGAAAATCTTCTTCTTTGCTACTGGAGATTATTTAAACAAACTAAGTGCATGATTATGATAGGCAAGGTTTCCTCTTCCAAAATTTTTAAATATATGGCCTCAGTTTTTGGGGTTCTTGAGGAGGGGGGGACTCTATTGATTATATAGTGAAAATGCATTAATTCTATTAATTAATCATTAATTAATCCTGTCTGCTCCTTAGTGTTGAGCTAATAAATAAATTGCTTAGCTATGATGAAAATGGGAGCTTCGAACAGAATTTTTTAATCTTGTGGTCCTAGGGTCATGGGTTCTGGCATAATGAGGAGGGGGGGGGGGCTTTTGATAATATAGTGGAAAAGTTTTAATTCTTTGAAGTCCATAGGTATGATGATGAGGGTAACTCTTCCAAATCTGTAAATTTCTTGACCTCTGGTCTTGGGTTCTGGTGTTAGGGTAAGGCTTTGTTGAATCTGTAGTGAAAATGCATTGTACCTGTGAAATTCTTCTCTGCTTCTGGGCATATTGGAAGCAAACTGAGTAAAAGTTTAAATGATATAAGTAAGCATATTTCTACCAGATTTTTGAACATCTGGACCATTTGTCTAAGCATTCTGGTACTGGGCAGGGCTCTATTAATTTGTATTCTACTGAGAGAAGTTATTCCCCTTTTCCATTCACCTTTGATAATGAATCACTGTAAATAATGTATTTGAAAGGTTAATAGAATAAGATAATTATGCAAGAATGTTTATCGTATATTTCAATAAGTACTTTCTTAGTTTTAATAATCAGGCAGACCTGTAAGTAATAGATAAATAAAAATGAACAAAAATAACTTATCTTATTAAAAGTTCTTCAAAGACCATAAGAGAGGTCAACGCTAGAGGTATTAATATGGGTTTAAAAATAGTACAGGAGCACTAATAGTGTGTTATAATAGTCTGCATGGTGATAGTGTTAAGTGGGGGACAGCTTTAGAACTTAAGTTATGAGTTGATACTGAATACTAGACTAATTATTTTGTTGATCCTGATCTTTCTACTTCTCTTGCTTTAGGGCAACAAAGCTTCATCTATCAGTGTATTTAACTTCTAAATTGTTGTATTATACTCAGGTGACCATTAAGGCCCTTGGGCCTCTTGTTTTGTTAATTAAGGATTATTAAAGAATAATTATATAGTGATGGCTTGACAAAAGATTGACTGTGTTAATACAGAATTATTTCCTTTTGTGAATGTAATTATCATTGTCAGTCAATTGTAATAGCAAAACTGAATCTGTTGGATTAAGTCTTGTCAGAATACAGCAATGTCACAATGAATGAAGACTATTAGTATCAAGTACATGATAAGACTTTTAATGTGTTAAAACGTTCAATTATATAAACAATTACAATAAAGCCAGATTATCTTATTCTAAACAGTTTTGAGTAATATTACTGTTTGTCAATTAAGTGCAGAGAATCAGTTTTCCTTTTTTTTTTCTCAATGAATCAGACAATGTCATATAAATATGATAATAACACAAATTTCCCTTATCTTTTCTTTTTTAGATTTTTATACTGGTACATTGTATTGTATACAGATATAGAATACATGGAGCAATTTATCTTATCTTGGCATTATAATTACAGGTGATGAGATGTGTTAGGCCTGGAATGTATGAATATCAGATGGAAAGGTAAATCTGATCATCTATACAGTAGTATAAAAGACTTGTATGTAATCACTGCTATATTTTGTGTGTGTTTCATGATTTCTCCATTTCTTCTCTTTACAGTATCTTCAAGCATTACTGTCAATTTAATGGAGGAATTCGACTGTTAGCATACACATGTATTTGTGGCAGGTAGGGCATATGTTAAAGGCATTGCTTAACTATAAATTTTAGTTTAATAAAAGTACTTATTATCACTGTGAGGCTACTATAAAAAGATGAGTAGATATACAGCTATATGATTGTCTCTGCTTTGTGTGTTTTTGACATAGTGTTTTCTCTACACTGTTCTTGTGTTTTACTTCAGTGGGGATAATGGCTCTGTGTTACACTATGGACATGCAGGTGCCCCCAATGCCAAAAAGGTACAGGACGGAGACATGTGGTAAGGGTCCCAGGATAGGAATCCTTAACCTTATGACAAGTCAAAAAAAGTTTGGAAAACACATGTTGTTTTATACTGAATATTATACATTGTTATGGATGCATATTAATTACATGAACTGTAGAAGATGGTGTTATAGCAAAAGAATTTTTTTCCCTTTAGCCTTCTAGACATGGGTGGAGAATATTACTGTTACACATCTGACATTACCTGTTCCTACCCAGCCAATGGAAAGTTTACAGAAAAACAAAGAGGAATTTATGAGACTGTGTATAAATCAAGCAGGGCTGTAATGAAGGCTTTGAAACCAGGTGAATTGTACTAAATTCTCCTGTAGTCAAACGTACAAGACCATGGGAAGAATTTGTAGATTGGGGGCATTCAATATTGAGTTAAATGCCATTGGAAAAAATTATTTGAGTAAAAAAGAAAAAAAATGTTCTGATTTCTTGCTGGAAGGCCAGTTTCTGATAGGTTCAGGGTTCGAATCCCAACCTATGTTAATTTTTTTAATATTTTCACCTTACTTGGTATATTTTGTGCTTCACCAACCCCTGTGGAAATTTTGCAATGAGCTGTCTTACCTGACCTTCAAGTATTTTTAATTTAAATACTGGCTGAAAATGCATGTTGTACCATGCAATTACTAGTAGTTTTCATTACTGTAGGAGGGTTTTCATACATGACAGTCACCTGTTTTGAATTTCAATTTTCACTTTTAATGGTGCTTTAAAATTATCATTGGTTGCTGAACACATGTACGAGAGGCGTTCAAAAAATATGCGGATTTGTTGCAGAGAAAAAATATTTGACGACAAAAACACACAAACAGTCACACATATTATAACTGAATCTTTACTTTAATGGTCAACAACATTTCATATCAATATATTGGAAATAAATATCAATTTTGAGTGATAACTTCAGACCTATCATGGAATCACGATGCAGTTAAAGTGAAATCTGGGATGTCACAACATCATATAACTTATGCAATCTAATTTTCTCAAATAGTCTTCTCCTTTGCGTTTGATACACAGTTTGTGTCACTTTATCCACTCATCATTAACATCTATATGTCATTTCTAAACCAGCTTGGAAACTATAAAACTAGTGAAGTATTTTAAATCTTTTTTTTTGTTTTTTAACCCCAAAACTGGAACTACCTCTGAAATATTATGTGACGTTGTTCGCCCTGAAAAAGGGGAATAGTCCAGATCTTCTTCCGACACCCCCCCTCCAACGTTTTTAATAAAGTCCTACCATTTGAATTTTTCTTGTGCTATTTGAAGACAGATGTCTGGCTTATCGCTTGTTTACTACATGTTTCATCGAGTATATTTGGGTCTCTGAGGGCGTGTTCCATATTCTACACATAATTTGACAAACGTGCGCTGCTCCGTCGAATCACTCGATGTCATTTTTGCAGTTGTTTTCATAGGGAACACATCGGAGAAAAATAACAGTATTTCTGTTAATACCTCAAATATAACCTCAATAATTTTTAATTCATAATAATGTAACAATGTAAAGAATCTTGAGAAAATTGTCGAATAATCTCGCGAATTATATAAACTCAATGAGTAAAATTATGGGTTTTGAGAGTTCGTTCTTCAAATATTTGGCCGTGCTCCGTACGTCCCCATGGGCAATATGAAAACAGCAATAATTTTTAGAGAAATTAATTATTATCAAAAAATTGTGCCAAAATTTTACTAAAATCATTAAGGAATATGTTTCTGTAAAATTTCATAGTTATTTGACATCAGTAAAAGTAAGTAAAAGCAGAGTCCGCGTAATTTTTGAACAGCCCTCGTATTTTCTGCATTTCTTTTTATTTCACCATGGAATCACCTATCATGACTTCTTCTGTTGTTTCTGACAGGTGTGTCATGGGTGGACATGCACCTGCTGGCAGATAGGGTACACCTGGAGGAGCTTAAGAAGCTGGGGCTCCTAAAGGGGGACATTGATGAGATGATGAAGGTCCGTCTGGGGGCAGTGTTTATGCCTCATGGTCTAGGACACTTTATGGGAATTGATACCCATGATGTTGGAGGGTATCCTGAGGTTAGGATTTTATAAAACCTTTGTATACCCATTAAATACCCATCCATCAATACACATAATTATGATCATTAAAGGCATACTTTATTTATTTGTGTTCATTCAGATGACAAACATTGCATATCATTCTTTATTTAATAGTTGATTCAATTTTTTTATTTTAAGTTAAAAAATATGACTCATTCTTAACTGTAATGTTATTAAACTAAGCTAAGTAAATTTTCATTCATCTATATACATGTATTGTATATTGGCTTCAAAGTTCATGAATTTAGAATGAACACACCTCATGTAGGAAGAAAGAAAGTTTGTTTTGTACAGTTGTTTTATATTTCTGTAAATAACCAGTTGTGGTTGTTGATATGAGTAGGGTATAGAGAGGAGTGATCAGCCCGGATTGAAGTCCCTGAGGACGGCCAGAGTAGTCCAACCCAGAATGGTACTGACTATAGAACCAGGAGTTTATTTCATAGATGTGGTAAGTTTTTAAAATTGGCAATGATAGCGCCCAAAATGGTATAGTGACTATAGAACCAAGAGTTTTTTTCATAGATGTGGTAAGTTTTTAAAATTGGCAATGATAGTGCCCAGAATGGTATAGTGACCATAGAACCAGGAGTTTATTTCATAGATGTGGTAAGTTTTTAAAATTGGCGATAATGATAGTGCCCAGAATGATAATAGTGATGATAGAATCAGGAATGCATGTGGTAAGTTCTAAGAATAGTAATAGTGGTAAGGGCCACAATGGTAATGACTAAAGTACTCGTTTATATCAGAGATGTGGTACAGTTGAACTTCGGTATCTCAAACATGGATATCTCGATACCATGGATATGTCGAAGTGATTTTGAAGTCCCAACTGCTTATTCCTTATGTATTTTACCCTGGATATCTCGAATCCTCGGTTATCTCGAAGTATTTTCTCGATCCCTTCAAGTTCAAGATAACGAGGTTTGACTGAATGTACTTTGGAATGTTGGTAAACCAAGAATGGTATTTGAATGTACTATGCACAGTAGCCACTGTACATCAGTAATAATATTATTATTATTATACCTTATTCACGTGAGATAGTTATGTGATGTTTATAGCATAATTTACAATATGTATTTTATGTGGTGTTTATAGCATAATTTACAATATGTATTTTATGTGGTGTTTATAGTGTATTTTACAATATGTATTTTATGTGGTGTTTATAACATAATTTACAGTATGTATTTTATGTGGTGTTTATAATATATCCGGTAATTTACAATATGTATGCAAGAAAAATAATAGTCGAACGAAAATAAAGTTTTTGCTAATAATAAGTGATTTAATTGATGCAAAAGGGAAATAGTAGAGAGTTATGTTCGATCAGCTATTGTTTTCTTTTTCAGCTGTTAGATGCAGCCTTCAATAATCCTGAGCAGTCCCAGTTCATGTGCCGTGAGGCTTTAAACCAGTACAGAGGTTTTGGAGGGGTGAGAATTGTCTAAAATACCTTAAAATATTGAATTCTTCAGGAATGTGTCAATTATCATTACATGTATTTCAAAGTAAAAACTGGGTAAAAAGCCTTTTATTTTATTCAAATTTGAAGACTGTTTCCCATTGGAAAATTTTTCTTTTAAATATTCATTATGTGAGTAAATACATTTATAAAGAATATAATTGGTATTTTTATGACAGGTACGTATTGAGGATGATGTAGCAGTCACAGATGACGGGATGGAGCTGCTGACTTGTGTCCCCCGGACCGTGGAGGAGATTGAGAGTCTGATGGCCGAGGGAAGACAACGCACCCAGGTCCCCCTCCCACAGGAAGTGAAATCATAAACAGCTGTTTTCACTTGTATATCTATACCGTTATATATATCATGCAAGTCACGAACAATTGATTTATAAATGTATGTATTTTCTTGGTCATTTTATTTCTATTTGATTGAATTTGATAAGTTGTGAGATCCTTTAATGTATGACTGTATAGTGAAGGACATTTTAGATTAATGTTATATTAAGAACATACCCCCTTATTATTAAGATCTATCATCAAAGAGGTATAACATCCAGACTGAAAATCAAGATGTCTCATGATTGTCTTTTATTGTAGAAGAACTATATTATTTGATATATGAATATAGTGTTAATCATCTGTGAGAAGGCATACTTACAATTACATGTGATCAGAATAGATATATTTAAGAAATGAATTTAATTTTGAGAATTCACAAAACTACATAACATAAACTACAACGCTTCACGTCGGCATATTTCATGAAACGCGTTAGCGCTTCATGATAAATATGCCAATGTGAAGCATTGTAGTTCATGTACCTCATGAATTCTCAAAAATTAAATTCATTTCTTATATTTACTTTATTTTTCTGATGATTTGCCAAATATTTTTGTCATTCAACGATCATCTCTGAAAAAAAAGTTTGCACTATTTTTAGCTCAACTGAGCTGAAAGCTCAAGTGAGCTTTTCTGATCACCCATTGTCTGTCCTCCGTCCCTCTGTCTGTCCGTCCGTCTGTAAACTTTTCACATTTTCAACTTCTTCTCAAGAACCACTGGGCCAATTTTAACCAAAATAAGTACAAAGTATCCTTGGGTGAAGGGGAGTTTAAATTGATAAAATGAAGGGCCAAGCCCCCTTATATAGGGGAGATAATCAAGAAAAGACAAAAATTGGATGGGGTCATTAAAAAATCTTCTCAAGAACCACTGGGCCAGAAAAGCTGAAACTTATGTGGAAGCATCCGGGGGTAGTGCAGATTCTAAATTGTTCAAATCATGACCCCTGGGGGTAGGGTGGGGCCACAATAGGGAATCCAAGTTTTACATTGAAATATGTAGTTAAAATCTTTAAAAATCTTCTTCTCAAGAACCACTGGGCTGGAAAACTGAAACTTATGTGGAAGCATTCTGGGGTAGTGTAGATTCTAAATTGTTCAAACCATGACCCCCGGGGGTAGGGTGGGGCCACAATAGGGAATCCAATTTTCACATTGAAATATATAGTAACAAGATGCACCCGGCGGCAACAAAGTTCAAAAAAGCTATTTTTAGCATATAGGTCACAGTCAAGGTCACAAGGTCATTGACCTTGGTGTCATTTGAAAGAACTTAATTAGTGGAGTATGCATACCAAATATGAAGTCTCTATCTCCTATGGTTCAAAAGTTATGGCGAAGGTTAAAGTTGACAACAGACAGACAGACAGGACAAAAACAATATGCGCCCCCGATCTATCGATCCGGGCGCATAAAAAACTTCTCAAGAACAACTGGGCCAGAAAAGCTGAAACTTAAGTCGAAGCATCCTTGGGTAGTGTAGATTCCAAGTGTTCAAATCATGACCCCAGGGGTGGGCGGGGCCACAATAAGTACTGTAGATACCTTATTTTTAGCGAGTACTTATTATCGCGAACTGGCTCTTTCACGTAAAATCGCGAGAACAATAATTCATGAGTCGACGGTTGATCAAGTGATTTTACATTGATTTCAGCACCATAAAAATAAAGGCGAGTAATTTTATTTTGCGAATGGTGCTTCTCGCGTAATTACGTGATAATTAATTCATCGTGCATATTTAGGAATCTACAGTACTGCAAGAGGGGAAATCAGGTGAAAAACAGCAAGGCCAAAGTTACTCAGGTGAGTGTTGTGGCCCATGGACCTCTTGTTTGACTTCAGTTAGGTCGCAATGAAAAAAATATTCTTACTCATCCCACGGTAGTTCATGAGATCATGAACTTTTTCTAATTTGCAAAGAATCTTAAGGGAAAATATTTGGAAATATAAATGTTCATTTATGTATATGTAAGACTCCAAAGTCAGATGGTCTGACACATTCTGTGGTGTGGGGGGAAACGTTTATGATGTTGCAATATTCCGACATCAATCCTAAATTCATTGTTCGACTTTCAAAATGAATTAGGATTAGTCTTCTCACACTATTTGACTGTCTTGAACACTATTTGACTGTCTTGAACACTACTTGACTGTCTTGAACACTAGTTGACTGTCTTGAACACTATTTGACTAATTAGTGTGAGTCCTTGCACACTATCTTACTGATTTTGAATTTGTGTCTCACCCATCTGAGAGATTAAAGTTAGGTCTTGAATTCTATTCAACTTATCAGGTTTATCTTGCAGTGCAAGACTTGCACCCACCTGATAGATTACAATCAGATCTCACACAATATTGATTAGGGATAGTCTGGCATCCAATCAATAGATTTAGTTTAGTTCTGGCACACTGACTAATTAGCGTTAGTCTCGCACCAAAGGGAGATTTTCAGTCTAGTCTTCGCACTCTATTGGGCTGGTTAAAGTTAGGCTTGCACCAACTCAAGAGTTGAGGATTATGGTGTATCATTATAATAAAAGATGTCATCTACAAATTTATCATAAGTGATTATTTTTAACCATTGGATTTTGTCATGGCTGCAGCATCAGACTTTGGCATATAAACATTAGACAATCGGACTTTGGTGTGTTAGACCACCAGACTTTTGTGACTGCATGTGAACCTTGGCATGCCAAACCATCAGGATTTGCCGCAGACCAACAGTGTTTGGAGTCCAATCACACTTTGGAATCCTTCATATATATGTAAAAGTATATCATATCCCAGAAGTTTATATACCTTTATACTTTCCTACATTAGAATTTATAATTCATAAGTATATATAGACAATTTTACACATGAGGCCTATATACATGTACATCAGTTCAGGAAAAGTGGCTACATGTGACTCAGCCAGAAAAAAATCCTTTGGAAAATTTAACATCATGCAAAAAGTATTGATACAAACTTAGGATTTCTTTACATTTTAAAACTTTCAATCTATTTGCAATTTGATTTACAAATGACTTGTTTGAAAATCGAAAAATTCACAAATCTTGCAAAGATTACACATTTTACCACTGAGATTTAGTAATACATTTGACAACAGTTTTATTCTGATGGTATATTGCAGCACAAATACTTAGATGATATATCTGTCTCAATGTTATTACATTTGAAGCTGTGATTTTTTATAATTGTTTACAATTATCATTATAAGTTTATAAAAGCTATTGTGCCATATTCAGGCATGTCCTGAAGTTTCACAAATGTTTAAAATAATGTAAAGTTTAATTTTCTTTGAGCTCTTTTGTTTTTGTTATCATGAACAAGGTTGGTTGTTTTTGCTATATTATAATAAACAACAGGAATCATTTCATGTAATGTTCTGTCTCTGTTTTCTCTGTTTTTATAATGGTCCCATGCCCCACCCCCCCTTCCCGCCATCACAGCTGGTATCGGTCTTTTCTTTTGCTATGTACCATAAATTCTTTGTTGTAAAAGCTCATCTAACAAGCATTCTGAGAGTATTGCATTAGCAATACTAGTCCCCCTACCGGCAAGTGTAATCTGGTTCCCGTTAAGAATTGAAAATGCCATAATTCCGTCAAAAATCAATGAAGCATGAGGAAATGCAAACTTGATCTGTAACTCATCAAGATACACTCACATACCAAAAATCAGCTCAATATATGAAAGCGTTAAGAAGAAAAATGCGGAAACCCCTAAAAATTGAAAAGACCGTAATTCCGTCAAAAATCAATGAAGCGGAACGAAATGCAAACTTGATCTGTAACTCATCAAGATACACTCACATACCAAAAATCAGCTCAATATCTGCTAGCGTTTAGGAAAAAAGTGCGGAAAACCAAGTGGGACAGACTGACAGACAGACAGGGGGACAGACGGACAGACAGACAGACGGACGGACAGACTCAGAGGAAACCTATAGTCCCCTCCGGTTTCACCGGTAGGGGACTAATAAATAACTAGATATGTGAAAAAATTTAACAATTTCATGTTTTGATGGTTAACTGGCATGGAAAATATAAAGATTTGTGTTTTAAGAAGGACTTTTCTTCAACACTACTTACACAAGACTTTCAAGTTCCTTCTTTTTTTTCAGTGACTGCATGAAATACTGTATACTTTTCTTCTATTGGTTCGGGGGGGGGGGGGGCTGCCTTTCATGTGATTCAATAATTATTTTATCATACTGAATGTTCTAAACAAGTTCATTTAAAAATCAATCGTTCGCGCTTAAATTCTGCATTTTTTGCCATATCTTCCGTCGTCAATTAATGTTGACTATTGCTATGTTCTATCATGCTGGAGGTCGTGGTTTCATCATGCAGAGGATAATAGCGTATTTTAGCAAATGTTTCTCGACGAATCGGATTCAACTAATGTACACCTTTTTCCATATCACATCCTGTATCAGCCCGAGACACCAATATCAGCAAGAGGGCCGAAGAGAATTAGGAGAATGTGACCCCCCCCCCCCTCCATATGTGTGATATTGATCCGTATCAGCCCCACAGATCCATATCAGACCTGTAGATCCATATCAGCCCCGCAGATCCATATCAGCCCTGTAGATCCATATCAGCCCCGCAGGGCCGATACGGCTATTGTGACGTCAGGCATATCGCCTATGCAAATATCCTGTATTTATTACTAAACATGTAATAAATAGAGAATATTACTTACTAAAATCCATATCATATGTCATATAAGCCCGAGTGGCCCCATATCAGCCCGAGGGCTGATATGGGGCTCGAGGGCTAATATGACATATGATATGGATTTCAGTATGTAGTATTCTAATTATCATATATTTTTAAAAATACTTTAAAATATGCGAGTTAACATAAAGTTATTGAAAAATGTTTCGTGCATGTTTATGTTCTTTTTCTTTAAAATCTAATAGCGCCTTAGGTCTTAGAAAACAAATTAAGTCCACTAATGTTAGTAAAGAATTATTTTACATGTATATTTAAATAAAATCAAGTTAATTAACTTTTAAACTTTATACAAACGTATGAATTTTTGCACGCCGGTCCGATACGTGATATGGATTTTCGGACCGGTCATTGATATAGGGTATTGTGACGTCACCCGTATCGCAGAGTGCAGAATCGGTGTATTTACTACTAAGTATATGATAAAAGAAAGTATAATATTATTATAGATTATATAATTATATCAATAACCAGAATCCATGAAAATTTTGTTTTTCTTGTAAATACCAAGTAACTAACGAAAATAAGGTGATCTACAATTATACATATTTCGACAAGTCACCATTAACTTGAAGCTTGGTTGACAACACAATAATTATTTTTACCTCAGTTTGTAATGTCACAAAGTTATCCGGCTTATTATTATTTTTAAGAGGCGTTTAGATATATTTGATGAGTGTCTTTAGGAACTCAAATTAAAGTCATGAAGTTTCAACTAGCATGTATCCTACTGCTGATTAATTGACCGAATATTGACCAATTTGCTGGCCAGTAGTTCAGGTTTAATTATAATTAATTTGCATGCAAAAAAAGTCACTTTGCCAACAGTAGTACTAGTTCACTCCAGCTTTTCAGTCGTCCTAAAATCAGAGCCTTTATGGTTGGTGATGGTTCTCAGAAAAACGGTGCCGTATTGTTGCATATACGTTTCCCCCGATATTTTATAATGTAAAGCATTAAGTTTAGAGTTACCGGCCAAAAGTGAGTCATATAAATTTTATTTTTTCACTATATTCATTACGGGTAAACAAAAAGATAAATATATGATAAAATCATCTTGAAATTATATGAAAAAAAACTGCAGGAAATTTAGCATTTGGGATGCTAAGGTAGTGAAAAAAATAAGCCATAAATAACGTTGCATTGTTTTGGGGGAAAAATCCCGCGAGATTTGTACATTTTCCTACTTTTTTCAAAACAATGCAAAACAATGTGATATTACCTATTCGAATTGGTGATTTTACCTATTCAGCTTTTGAATTGGTGATATCACCTATTTGATTTGAATTGGTGATAATTATCACCTATTCGAATAGGTGATATCACCTATTTAAATAGGTGATATCACTTATTCATATAGCTAGGTTATTTCCTTTATAGCATTGATTCAACAATGATGACATTGATTTAATTACTCTTGAAGAAACTTTTCAAAAAAGATTTTATAATAAAAAAGAGTTCTTAAACGTAAAAATGTGATTACTACGTTAAATACGTAATAGCCGTTTTCAAGACTTCACATATCTTAAGTAAATATAAAAAATATATACCCGTTTTTAAGTTGGGGATATGAAATCGGTTCTTTTTACACATTTTATATAACGTTACGGTGGTCCTACAGGAAATCACCCGGAGCTATATGATCCCGAAATTTTATAAATATACTTTTATAACGTTATGGTCGTGCGGATCTTGAAGTACTCGAACGTCAAAAAAAATACTAGTATACGATTTAGGTTACATCTATCGATAGGATTTCTTCTACCTAATCAATACACAGGGCTCACGGCAGATGTGACCGGTCGACAGGAGACGCGTACTCCTCCTGGGCACCTGATCCCACCACTGAAATTTCTAGGGGATCCTAGTTTTTTTGTCCTGATCACAGATTTGAATTGTTTGTAGTTTAGGTTTTTTGAGATCGATCACTATTCATTGTTTTCACCTTTTTCACAAAGTAGCATGTATTCTTTGACCAAAGCTAATATGATTCATACCAAGCAAAAATGTATAGTTAACTAGCTTGGAAAAATGCATTAAATTTTTTTTGCAAAAAGATCGTGCTTCAGCATCAAAGATTTTTACCTGTAGTTTAAGGGTTTGCATAAAATATCACTTTTTTAAAACACAAGTCTTGCTTGGCTTTCCGCTCGACATTCAGATCATATCGACGACGTTTTTATCAATTAACAATATAGTAACTCCCATTCATATGCCGACTCCATATATCCTAGTGAAATCGAAATAAAAACACCACAGAGTCTGCCATATCTGATTCATATTTCGATGTTTTACTGACTATAAGGTGCAACTAACAACTTAACTGTATGACAAACGATTTGACTTCAGTTTTTTTTTTACTTCACCTGCATATAGTGTTTTCGTCTCCCAACTTATTCGATATTTAAGAGCATGCTCTGAGTACGATCAATTTTTAAACCAAGGCAGGCTACTGATAGATAACTTGATATTACAGGAATTTCAACAACCTCGTTTAAAGACAAACATTTAAAGCACCCCCTTCAAAAATACCTGGTTTGTGTACCCCTGTCAATCAAGTGCATTAAGGTACATCATTAGTTGCCAGAACTTGATTGACATTTACTTACTAGTCCCCGTGTATACCCTATACACCTTGTTTGACACTCGTGGTGACCTTCAAATTAACTTTTTGATCTTTTGATATTTACCACACATGGTATAAGCGATAGAGATACTGTATTACTCTGGAATTTTTAGCTTGATAATATATATATATATGCATACTTACCTTTATAGAGTATTTGAAATAATTATGATGTTCTTTATGATAATATGTAGCAAAATTTTTTTCAAAGCTCAACAAATACTTTGAATAATGATATTTTTTTAATGGGTAGGGATGCTTTGACACACATTCAATTACAAGTTAATAAAAATTATTGAGAATAAACTTTATTTACAACTTTTTGTTTTTAATTTAAAACCATCACAAAATCCCAACACAGGTAAAGTGTGACTTCTTGGGTACTCTATTGTTTATTAAGTCACTTCCTGTGTATAAGGATTAGGAGACAAATGACCACAGGTAGACTGCTAGCCCTCAAGGCATTCACACCTGTACAAAATAAGCCCCTCCCTCACCTGGAATTTACCACCCAGTAAAAAATTTCTGCATTTAGAGTCAGCATTTCGTAAACTCTATGGTCGTTAGAATGACCTTGTTAGCAAATATACCCTAACATTCGGTCGTATTTTGGCTAACGTGTTTCATTCCAATTGCTAGTTCTTTTTTTATACTATATATGACTTTGGAATATCCCGTCTACCTGATCAATACATAGGACTCACAGTAGGTGTGTCCGGTCTACAGGAGATGCTTACTCCTCCTAGGCCACCTGATCCCACCTCTGGAATTTCCAAAGGAGTCCGTTTTTATGCCCTGTTCACAGATTTGTATTGTTTGTAGATTTTTTATTTGTTTGTTTGACGTCCCTTCAAGAATTTTTCATTCATATAAAGATGCCACCACTTTCCGGTGGACGACTGCAAATTTAGACCTGGCCCCGGGATCATGAAACATCTTAAGCTCAAGTCAAAATCTTTATTTTATATTAAAATGTTGTAGAAAATTAAAATATTTTTCAATATTGCTACACAAAAGTGTTGTTATCTACAAATTTAGAGATAAATTCAAACTGATAAATATTTTATAGGCGATTGAAAATTTGACTTAAGTCTAAGTTTGTTTCATGATCCTGGGGCCTATACTCGGCACTTAAGCCTTTGAGCAATGTGGGATCTTTTTCGTGCCAACACCTACTGCGACACGGGACCTTGGTTTAAACGGTATCATCCGAAGGACCGGTTTCCACGTTCCACAGTGGGATTCGAATCGGAAAGGTAAGGATCAACTCCTTACTCCGCATATCTAGAGCAACCACTGCGCCACGCGGGCGACGTAGACTTTTTCTTGGAGATAAACACTGTTCCTTTTCTACACATTTTTATTTCATACAATGAGTATTGTGAGAAAGAAGAGAAAATATGGGTGTCATTTAAAATATTTTGGATAGTGTTTCTACTTTAGTAAAAATCACAGAAACTATTCCTCATAAAGTAATATTTGTAGATCGGGTATCTAATCTAAATCATAGTTTATCCGATATTTAAAAACAAATTAAAAACCATTGGATAAGTAGAATTTATAGACATATTTAGAGAAGTAATACTTTAATGAATGTAATCAAACATAATACATGTAGTTCAAATGCCCCTAAACCATATGCATAATGATCCAAAAGTTGAATTAGTTCAGTGGGATGTGTGGCCTTATTTTCTCAAATATTCCGTGCTTCTAAACCAATTACATTCCGGAAGACTTCATTATTTACTGTATTCTATTCACCGTAGAAATCCTTGCTTATTTACTTTCTGAGCTCGAAAAATCCGATGATTTATTCACCGAGTCAGAATTAGGATTTGTCAGCACATCACATGGAATTTTGTTTTCGGGTTCTTCTTTTCTGATACCGTCTGTGGATGTGCTTGCTGAGTATTCGACACTACTTTGAAAACTCTGAAAAAGTGGGTTGCTCTTTGAATTGTGAGATTCAGGGTTCATAACTCCAAATGCCTGAGACTTATCACGGAAGGGTTGGGGTTCAGTAGGTCGAAATATTGGAATTTCTAAGTTCGTATCATTTGTATTGGGTGAAATAAATGATGATGTTGACGTAGAAGGCACTGATGGTTGGCAGTCCATTTCAAATTGTGCCATTTCTTTCTCGTTAAGAGTAAATGATCGACTAAATATTTCAACCATTCTGCTAGAAAAACTGTTTTCTGTCGTGGAATTAGTATTCGCGATATCATCATACTGGTCTTCCGCAGTCTGACCTAACATGTCATACCCACAGCATTGTTGTTTTCCAGTGTCTATGGCATCCAAATATCCACCATCAAGATTCTGTTCCTCAGTAATTCTTTCTGGGGATGTATCATCTCGATTATTAAATGATCTTTTGTCTGTTTTTAAACTTGACGACGTGATGTCTTGGTTCTCACTTATCCTATTATATATACATACACAAAAGTTTAAGGAATGCAAGTTTATCAATACAAATAAAAATACATTCAAAACATACAATTTACAAGTATTCACCTCTTCGTCATGATTTCCACAATGTCACAAGCCGATGGTCTGCAAGATCTATCACTATGCCAACAAGGGATCATGACATCATCATACAGCCAGCCAGGACACTTTTCTGGTTTTTCTGGTTTCTGACCCTCATTAAGTACACCAAGTATCTGACAGAATAAATTTGTTACAAATCTATGTTAGATGGATGAACTCAAAGGGTCAAAGTTGTTGGTGTCCAAAGAAATGCCTTGTCACAAGAAATACACATGTGAAGTTTGAAAGCCTAAGTACCAATGCTCAAAAGTTATGGCCAAGGTTGAAGTCTCTTAAAATTTTGTAAAAGTGGGTCAAACTTCAAGGTCAAAAGGTCAAATATGGTACCCAAAGAAAGGTCTTGTCACAAGGAATATACATGTAAAATATGAAAGTCATAGCTTCAACCAATCAAAAGTTAAGGGCAAGGTAAAAGTTTTTGCGGACAGACAAACAGACGGACGGATAGGGCAAAAACTATATGTCCCCGAATCTTCGATTACGGGGGCATAAAAATATGGTAGAAAATAATGTGAAAGAAGACATAAATAAACATTAAAACGTTCTCTTATAGGCTTGTTTTTCAAAAATCATTAAAACTTCTTAGTGTAGTGTTTACAGTTAATTTCAGAGGCAAGGAAAATGTATTTACTTTCTAAATGGAGACAATGAAAGAATTTGGAGGCACATTTATCATACCTTAGACAGCGACATTGTTGAGTTTGAAAATGAAGTTTTGGTCATAACTTATTTCAGTCAAATATAGGATACTAAACGTCATGATCTCAAACAAGTACTTAATTTGCAAATCTTTAACGCATCTTTTCAATAAAGCTTAAATAATATGTGATTTACTTGATGACATAAACACTTGTGAGAATATTATTGATGTGAACTATGAAAATATTTAATACAATATTGTTTGCAAAATAGTCATTTCTGTATCTAATATTAACAACCAAGTTCCAAGTGAATTACATTTACATTGGAATTACTCTGTGTTTCTTTTTTGTCCTATTTTAATTTGGATTGTATGTTGCACTGTGTTGATTATACATGTATGTTCTTTTCTACTTATATTGCTGTGCTGTTTTATTGCTACATTGATTATTTTTTTAGATTTTGTTAGAAAATATTTTCAAAGAATGTGGATATGCCTGCGCATGAAATACATAAAAATACAATGATATATGGTAACTTCAAGCATAAAACTGAGTATCTTAAGCGTATTTTCTATATGTGCTGAACGTACCTGAGATTTATAATTTCTGGCAAAAGGTACAGTTTGAAGTTCGTCATGCCCTGAGAATGCCATATAAACTTGGTAAAACAGCATCGCCATTGTGTAAACGTCACTTCCTGTAGATAATTCTCCAAACGATATCACCTCCCTAGGGATCCTGTGTAGATGAATCGGATTTATAAAGAAGATAGACAACGAAAAAAGGGGAGCTTTGTATAAATACAGATGACAAAATTTGATCTTAGTATAGCTACAATTAGTTATGTAATTACGAGAAGTGACACCAACCAGAAGTTAAAATTCAAGACGTTTTCCTCTGTTATAATAAAGTAGAGAATGAAATCAAAAGTCAGAGGCCAAAGACGTAGAGAATATTTTACCAAAATATCATGTCCTCAAATCTGTCTGAGACACGAATACTTCCTTGATTTATATCGGGTGTTTCCGGTAAGCGTACCATTGTCCCTAATTTTACAAGAAACGCCTAGAAAAAGAGAATACATCTATTTCAGTAATATTTTGAATCTGAACTTCATCATCACACTTTGTAGTGTGTATAAGCTGAAGACGATTCGTAAAAGGTAGAGATTTATTTTGTCCGTCATATTAGTCTGCAATTCCCCTTACTGTACGGCCCCTATATAAGCCGTTCTGTTGGCAACGATTCAGTGTAATCAGTTTTGGTCGGTGTGGACATACATATTCTCACAAATATTGTAAAACTCTTGGTAGCGACAAAAGTAACTGTGTGCTTCTTCCACGACAGAAAAGAAAGTTACCAAAGAAACTTACATCAGTTGCACAGGTCAGTGCAGTACAAACAAACACAAATACACGTAAACTGAAAATAAAAATTGTAAAGAAAGGTAATGTAAAAAAAATCAACACGAACTCGTGTCGTCCATTCCACGCAGGCACCTGTGGCAAGAAAGCAGTCAGGTGTAACGAATGCGAAGGGTATACCCCATTGCTGATATCGGAGATGGGAAAACTAATATGACACAAGCCTATTTACGAGTCGTGTTCAACTTTAAGAGAGCAAACCCTTAAAGAATAATTGTACTAACAGTTATCCTAAGAAGAATTAAAGGTCACATGATACTTATCTTTACGATCATCACCTGTAAGAATACTAACAGTTGTTGTACACGTTTATTGTCTTGATACTTTTTTAATTTCCCCTTTTCAAGACAGGTTTCATCCTTACCCTGTATTGGTTTTCCTGATGTTGAATATAGATGTTCTTTGCTATCAGGGCAACCATCAGCCATCTTTTTGCATGCATTCTCTGAACAAGCCGTGCCACAGCTAAAAGCATCTTAGCAGAAGAATGGTGGGACACATTGCCTTTCAGTAGTTTCAGAATATTAACAGCTTTGGGATACATGTATTTCTAAAATTTTGGATAAAGTTAATTAAATGTTTTAATACACAGCCTAATAATATAAACTATAATATGAGGCAGTGAGAGGCATACGCGGGAAAATTCTGTACTGACATTGTGTTTCACACATGAGATCAAACAAAGAATAACATCTTTGTCCTGCACTGTACCATATGTAGTATTTTACATCTCTTTAAACAATTCATTGCCATCTATGATAGGTATATGAATACTTACTAAAATATTATCTATTCCCTTTCCAGAGATATTGCCCTTTTCACGAGAGAGTGTATCAGCGATGATTCCCATTTTCTCACAGAAGTCAGGGCTCATGGTGGGTAGAATTTTCTCGCAAAATTGCACAGAGACTTGCTCTGCAATGCGTAGGTGTTCTCCCTGAAAATGTTTGCCGAACCATACACCATGCTCTCAAAATATTATATACAATACAGTGTACATGTATGTTCAACCTTCAAGATAGAAGATTGTTTCAATCAATGACATCTGTTCTAGTAATATTATGAGACTTAAAGATAAGAGAGATATTTTACAACAATATTCTATTTGTTTTCATGCTTGAGCTTTTAGATTTTTTTTGCCAACCTTTATAGCCAAAATAAACGATATTTACTGTTTCCTCGACGACAGGGTCATGTAATGGTTTGATGTCATCAAGGCACAATACAGGTTCTTTTAAAGGACTTCGAGGATTCGGCATACTTTGGCGTCTCATCTCGATAACGGTTTTCCTAATATCTACAACATGAATTAACTCTATAATGTTTCTTTTCAAACTATCTATGATAATTTACGGCTTCTTTTAATCATTTCATTTGATATTCTTTTTGTTTAACTTTTCAGTTAATTATGTATTCGGACTGACTTTCTTTTTTCTCTAGGCTTTTCTCTTTAAGCTTTCTTATGAACGGAGAAATGCCCTGAAAATACAACAGAATACAACAAAAATACAAAAATGATTCCTATGAAAAACAAAATTTCTTGCATAAATCTTTCCTTTCTTTAAGTTTTTGTGCGTTTTATATTTTTTAAAGCAAATCATTGAGTATACATTGATAAGTTGTAGACACACCCTTTCTGGTTCATGGCCTCGTTCCTGTTGACTCTCACTGAGTCGTGGAAGATCGGGGGTTTCTTCACTCGCTTCAATAGAAACATTTCAATTTTTTTTCCTTTTTTTAACTTTAAATAAAAAAGAATGATTTTAAAATAATAAAAACAAAATTGTTTCCATCATACCGTAATATTCATTGTTGAATTTACATTAACCATATGAAGGAAAATGTGAATGGATATTAATTCCCATTCACTTCATACTTTCACCATTTTTATGAAAATAATACTGCTGTTTTCTGAGGCAATATATAGAATTCTACTTTTTAAACTTGTTAGATCCGATTTATTAAAAACCATTTGAAACTTGAAAGAAATGTTCAAGATCAGCAACTGTTTCATATTTCTTCCATCAATGTAACGTTAGGATCGATAAAATGATATTTTACGTTCCTTCAATCTCTTAAAACGAATAGTTCAAACTCACTTCAAAGACTAACATTAATTTAAAAAGTATTTTAAAAAAAGTCTCTGTGTTTTGTTTTACAGAGTGTAATAATTACTATCATTACAGAAAAAATAATTAAACATTTATCTAGGCAATTTAATGTTCGTGCAATGATTTAATGGTAAATACATGTTTATTTATGGGATTCGATGTATCCCATTAAACTCTATATAAAAGACAACCACAGATTCTAACATATCTGTTTCATATTTGGATATTGTTTCTTAGAAAAAGACATTAATGGCAAACTAACAGCTAAAATTTATGATAAACGTGATAACTTCAACTTTACTATCGCCACCTTCCCTTATTTGTGTAGCAATATACCATTTAATTTATCACCTGCATATGGAGTTTATTTCTCCCAATTGATTAGATACGCAAGAGCATGTTCTACATACGAACAATTTCTAAAACGAGGCAGACTATCCAGAAATAAGTTAAAGATATCAACAATATCATTTCAAGTCAACATTTCGAAAATTCTATGGTCAATATAATGACGTTGTTTGCAAATATAATATGTCGTTATGTCGAACGTTGGGGACTGACTTCTTTCATACAAATTGTTTGGCCATTATTTTCACACTTAATTGTCTACGGATTGTTTCCGTTTATCCTACCATGACAAAGGACACCCGGTCTGTGTGACCGGTTGACAGGGAATTTATACTACACGGCACCTGATCCCACCTCTGTTGTCAGAGGTCCGTGTTGGCTCAACTCACAGTTTGTATTGTTTTCGTAAGTGAATTTTGATCTATACCAACATCATGCCAATGAAACTTGTAATGCTTCTGGGTTATTGTTTTAGTTATATATTATTTCAAAGCAATAGATAAAATAAAGTTTAAATATCAAAATTCTTCTGCATATACAGTGATATCATGATTATATATAACAGAATAAACTAGAGGTTCTGTGAGCAATTAGCTCACGAAATGATACCTTCGCTTCCAAATAAGTACAATGGCAAGGTCCATGATTTGCTATGGGAAACCCCAAATATCTGTCCGATGAAAGTGTAAAATAGGAGGTGCACAATGGCACTATATGAAAAAGATTCTGTCAAAGACTCATTAATTTCTATTCAGTGGTATAGGAGGAGTTGAGGATAACAGATGTTTACCACCAATATTTATAGAAAGAATGGCAGAGTCCATGTTTTACTATAGGAAACCCCAAATATCTGTCTGATTAAAACGTAAAATAGAAGGTTACATTTTTTCAGTGGTATAGATGAGCTGTGGATAAGAGATGGATACCCCAAAAATAATAGAAAGAATAGCAGTGTCCATGTTTTGCTGTGGGATTCCTCAAATATCTGTCCGATCGAAATGCAGAATAGGAGGTGCTTCTTGGCACTTTTATAAAGATTCTTTGGAAGTCCCATTAAATTTTATTCAGTGATATATAGGAGAAACTGCGGATAAAGGATGGATACACTTAAGCGTAACGGACGCACAGAAGGATTGGAAGGACGGACAGACACCCCAAATACTAAATACAAAATGCTTTTCCAGCGAAGTACATGTAATACTGAAGTATTTGCTTTTACTAGTAAAATATATATATTGCTCTGAATTATCAATAAAATACTTCAGAGCGATTAACTTTTAGTAATACTTTAAATGCATTTCATTGTACCACTATTTGAAATCATAATTAGTCTTTCTGTGTACGTAACATACCTCCTACTACTCGCTTATCCCTTAGCCTTCTGAGGTGTTTCAGGATTTCTTCAGCAGATGGTCTGTCTTTTGGGTCTGTCTTCCAGCATGATAGTGCTAACTTGTGGTAGTCATAAGGAATACAGGGCCACCGGTAAGGGGATATGTCTCCTGATAATACCTGCATTTTTTCGGAGTAGAATATGATATTTGAAATGAAGCACATTTCATCACCAAACTTTCAAGATTGAATTAAACCTAAGTGTAGTTTGTCAGCTATTTGTTTACACACTTTTCTTGTAGTCACAGTCATTTACCATTAAGCAATGAAAGTTTTGTTAACTTTAAAACAACCATGAAAAAAACACGGCGGTGAAATTGCCATGTGCTCGAACGAGCAATATTTAAAAAGGATGCTCTTTACTGTTCAAAACGTTCTTTTACCATAAAAACTTATTTGTAAATAGCATATAAGTTGAACTTATATTCTGAAAAGATGTCTGCATCAGGTAACGAGTATTTCAGTATGTGTTAGACAAGGATTTGAACTTTTCAACATATAAACATCAATTTCTGGTTTTGTACATGTATGGTAAACATAACTTGCAATTTTACCCGTAAATAAGACAATATATATATCTTTGTTGTCTAAGTATCAAATTAAATGATCCATACCCCTGATATAATATCATCTGTGGTTGAGCTGTACTGATCAGTAAATGGTTCACATCCGTAAGTAAATAGCTCGTGGATCACGTGACCAAACATCCAGATATCGGATCTGGCGTCGTAACAATTTAAAAGGATTGACTCAACAGCCGACCAACGAATAGGAATGCCATCCCCCTGCATGTCTAAAAGAAAAAAAAAACAGGAAGAGATAGCTATGTCTATGACGCAATTAAAGAGATAACATTTGCAAAAGTGACGTCAGTGCTTATCTAAGTGCAATATATTTTGGAATGAAATTTTACCTTCTACCTGACAACTCGCTGTCATACTAAAACCTGTTTGACTTGCAAGATTTAAATCATACAAAACGGTTTCATCCTCTTCCGTCTCTGAGAAATGTGCAAGGTGAAAACACCGAAGTGTGACGTCACGATGAATGATCTTTTTGCCATGTAAATAATTGAGAGCGCTTATCATTTCAATCAAACGATTATTTAACCAAAGACCAGAAAATCTTGTTTTTTGTCCTCGTACTTCTAGAAGTTTTTCCAATATTTCTATTCTGTGGTTGTCTTTTACATAGAAATGAAGGGAGTATTTTAAGTCACTATAAGCCAGTAATCTAACAACATTGATATGAGTTTCATCCTTTTGTAGTCCTAAAAGAATTTTGAAGTCATTTTCCAGCATGCTGTTCTTTATCTTATATTCTTCCTTTATTCCTTGAAGAGAACTCATTGATATGCCTGGAACACGAATGGCAATACTTGCCTCACACTTGTTGATGCGCCCTTGACAAATAGACCAATATGAATGATCAGTCTTTTTTGGCAGAGTTTTTCTTTTCGTGTGATGGAAGACTATATCAGTGACGTGTCTTTGAACGTACGTTTCTGTTAATTCCAACAAAGATCTTTCAGAGATGTTTAAATATTGGATGATGACGTTGGCAAGTTGTTTGTCACCTGTGAAGAGATGATTGGAGAGTTCCTCTGGAAGAGGTAGAAAACTCTTGTGTCCTGACATCCTGCTCCAGCAGATCTCAACAACCTTCAGAAGGTCACCCTTCTCTCCCTTAACTAAAGAAAAGACAGAGTCTCTGATCACTCCATATAAAAGTCTCATCATTGGAAATTTTCTTTTGATTTAGACTGTGTACAATTTTATATGAAAACTGCAATTGCAACAGCAGTCATTCATGAGCTGATTTATTATTTATTTTAGATAAAGTTTTGAACGCGGAGCTGGGTTGATGGAAGGGGACGATATCCACTGCGCTAATGCAATATGTCTATTATTTAATCCTTTTTGATTAACTAATGATTCATTAATATTTATTCTTCTGAACAAATTGCACATAAAGGTTTGATTGATATAAGATCTGATGTAATTTTTAATAATGCCATATGCATGCAATAGTGCACTGCATTGTTATAATTTTTTCCCCTAAATATCTTTCGTGCTATAAGTATCTATATCATTTTATTTGGAATAAGTATAAGTTTACACTTATGATAAGAAAGACAATCTCCAATTCCACGTAAGGTAATCTCAGCCAAGGCATGGTGCTGTACTTCTGACCACCTTTTATCAGTTTTCTTCTGGAGAAATAATAGCCCTACAAACCTTGAGAACTGATCATGCACGGCAGCATTGGTCTTCAGCTAAAATGTTCAAAGCATAACAATAATGGCCGCTAACATCATGATTGTATTTTTTAAAAAATACCACTTTTAAAAAATATTTCCAGGTTTAACACACCCAGTAGAATTGTTATAGATAGATAGTTTTACACTAAAGAATATCCTTATGGTATTCTAAACTTTCACAGAAACGCAATATTTAGCGGAAAATGGAACTGTTGGCAAAAATTTACTGAAGTAAAAAAAGACTACGGGAATGGCTCTCCTACTCTACCGTGCAACAAACTAGCAATTTGTGAGGGGGAGCAAAAAGGAACAAAACAGTTAACATGAACTTGCTCTTAAACTTAGCTTTTGTGATTTGCAATCATGTACTTCCTACCGAAAAATTATGACGGTGTATTTTTCCTCCTTAAAAATATCACTTCTCTCAAACAATCGCAGTGTCTTACCTTTAGTAGAAACGCAAAAAGAACCATGAATTGTTCATTGAAAGACTGATTTTCTATGCCGACTAGGTGTTCAGCATGTTGTTTTGAGTAAAACACATCCTCCCATCTTTCAAAAATGAAACGAGAATGTCTACTTAACTGAAAGCCATATGAAAGTGACCTGGCAAATAAGGCCATACATTTCAATGCAGCAAAATTACGAGGCTGAGTCTTCTTTAATTTCCTCTTTGAACTCAATTTTGTATACACATCATCAATTTTCTTGCAGATGTCACAAAGTTTGCTTTCAATCTCTTTCTTTTCATTGTTTCGGAAACAATACTGTAGCATGGAAATTGCCATGATATCCATAATTGGTAAACATGACTCGTACCACATTTCTAAATCCTCTTCAACTGTGTCCCTTTGGAATCTTTTCATCAAATTCATCAGACAGCATTTTATGTCGACAAAGGGCAGGGCAGAAATATCTAACCTGCAGATAATATATTTCAGTTTTCCAAGTATGAATTTCTGAAATTGCCTGTCTTTACATACCAATAATTTTGAGAGTTCTGTAATATTTTTGGATTTTGTCAAACGCGGAACGATATGAGTGCGAGTTCTTTGGATTAAGTCGTGTAATTCTACATCAGTAAACCTTTCACATTTTTCTTCAAAGTCTACAACTAGTTCCGTTTTATCTAAATGAAAGATAATTTTAATTCTTGAATTAGTATTGACATAGAATCCTCTGAATTTCTCTCTTCTAATATATTAATTACCTGAGATAAAAATTATTTTCATTCTAGTACTGTAATTAAACTAATAAATTTATACTTAAAATACTTAAATCTCAATTTTAAAAATATATATTCATAGATAAAATGTTATCAATTTGATAATGCCATTGCGTACCTTTAGAGGATACCAGACTGTGTAATATTTTAGGCTCATTCACCACTGTTCTTTGATAACTCTCCGCACTGACAAAGTAGTCCGTGGTGTGAGGTGCAATAGAGGTATACAGTGTAATGTTGGTATTTAAATTGTTTGGAGTGTATCCAAATAATTCGTCCGTCTTTAAGTTGGATCCCGGGAGACGCAACCTGTATTCTGTGCATTAAACATGCTTTGGTGAACTTTCTTTTTGAAATAATGCATTTAAACGTAGCTATGCTAAAATGACTTTAAACAGCATAAGGAAAAGATAAGGAACCGCTTTATATTAAGATGGAATCGAAACCACAAAAAGGGTTTCTGAAATAGTCTACAATAGCTTTTTAAAATACTAATAATCATCCAAATCAAAATTAAAGAACAGCCAGTTAAAAATAAAATTATATTCAGTTTTCACAAGATACGTGTTCCATGTTCATGAAAAAAAGTTTGGTCGCTATTAAGAATGATGTACTGTGCAATTTAAAGGGTTTAAAGCTGTAGTTAGATATATTTCATATTTCATCTTAACCCCAATTGATCCAACGATGTCTCTTAAATTTGACCAACATTTTCTCATTGTCTCTCTTCTTGAAAACGTCTTAAAATTATTCAAATCTTTCATGTCTTCTGTTCACTGACGTTTTTCGCACAAAATTAAGGCCGTTATTTTCAAACTTAATTACCTACAGTTTCTTCCGTTTATCCAATCATGACAAGGAGTACACGGCAGGTGTGACCAGTCAACATGGGATGCTTACTTCTCCATAGCACCTCATCCGACCTCTTTTTTCAGAGGTCCGTGTCTCTGCTCACAACTTGCAACGTTTAAATGGACTTTTGAGCACGATCACTGTTCGTTGCCTTCACATTTCAAAACAATGTTAATTTAATATTTAAATATGAAAAATATAGGAGAAATCTCAGCAAAATCTTTTCATTAAACGCGAGTTACATTTACCAATATGCAAAGTTCCTCATGTACTGTAAATCATATTCAAATTATAATTACTGGGCAATGTGCATGTCAAGACAACAGAAAATATGCAATTAAGATTCGAGAAAGCAACATGTATACATCCCCACCCTCAAATATGAAAATAATTTTTAAAGAAGAAGTGACAAATGCCTTTAGCTTTAAATGTATAAAAATCAAATTCAATTTGTGAATTGAGTGAATTATACAGTATGCAATTATGACAAACAAAACTATTCTGCGGAAAATTCTCTTGGCATAAATTATTCTATGGTTAAAAAACATCACATACATGTAACTCATAAAAGGTAGCGGCTATTAAATTTTTTCCTCGGAAAGATACGACTTTTGTGTAAATGTTGTCCTTTTTGTCCATTATCCAGAATCACCTTAAGTATGGGGAAATATTTGAATGATGATTTGCTCTTCTGGAATACAAGCAACGTTAGAACGATATGACTTTCAAACGAGACTAACAGTTCAAGAAGTAGTCTGGTCATGTTATTTTACGAATTCTAAATAGTGGTCTCTGGAAATGATCGCTTGTATTGTCCAAGTGAGGGTATGTCCCTCTGCCAAAGGGGAGGCCTTTACAATTATGTATATATTATTCATTTAATGTGCAGTGTCCTTAAGCACACAGGTTATAATATTATACGTATATATGACATAACTTGGGAGATGTTCATGAAGAAAGATATCTAACATCTGTAATAAATCTCGGCATTAAATAAATATTATATTTGCACGACAAATTTTTTTCATGATAATGCAGCATAGAATTTTTTCCAAATGTAATTATTACGTGTATGCCGTTTTTGAAAGGACTCAATGTCGGTCAAAAAGAGAGTGGTGTATTAAAAGACGTAAAAAAAAAATAGCCAACATTCTTGATGCTTTTTAAAGCCTGTTCTGAAAGTCCGGTGTCGTATTGAAGCTGTATTTAGACCACTATTTGTTTCAAGTATAATTTTACTTATAGCAATTTTAAATCATCATCATTTCTGAAGAAGAATTATTGCCCAGACCTGTTTTTAATTCTTTTCTTATTTTTCTGCTAAGTACGAACGTTGTCCTCATGCTACAAAATGTAACTTTTTCGTGTATGGCTAGAGGTCGTCAAACGGCATTTCAATTTACGTATTTTTTGTTTGACCAAAAAGTGAAAAAAAAAAAACAACACTTATATGGATATATATTTATCGGTCAAAATATACTCAAAGGTAGGAATATATCAATTTGATTGATAAAAACATCCTTTCTGCTGATTTAAAAAAAAAAAAAAACACCTGTCTACCAAATGTTTTGAGATTTCGGAAGATGGCCTTAGCTTTAAAAGAGAAAAGAAATCACATGATGCACAGAAAAAGAAAAAAATCATTCTTAAAAATTGGTATTAACAAACCACTTATCGCGGTTTCTTTCTTAAAATGATTATCTGTTTAGTATACTTTCATAGTTTCTTTGTTCAAAGTAGAAAAATATTTCCTAAATGGAAATAAACTTATATAAGTTTTAATATGATTCTATTTAACGTACCTATTTTTGAGACTTGCATTCTCCTTTGACACAATTAAATACAACGTTTTAACTTTAATTACTTAATGACACTTCATGCCACCTTGAATCTTTCTATGTATAGATTAGGTATATGCTGGAGGAATCACTTTACAGAGAAGTGGTTGACACCTGCTTTAGTGGCTGGGTGGAATTTCAGAGTGAAACACACAAAAACTTTGTCTACACTTCCTTTTTATCTAGGTCGGGTGACTCGAATGATTCGAAACAGGATTAAATGTCAGTTTTAAAGTCTGCGTCTTTACGATAATATCTACACGGTAAAAGTTTTTATACTTTATTCAAAAAGTCACTGCACAGTTTACAAAAGACGAAATAGTGCCGCTTTATTTTTCTGTAAATGAAAGGTAAAATATTTGTTATATAAGACGCACACCAGAAAATGAATTTATAGGGTAAGCAAGTCTAAAATTATTACTTTCGACCCCTCTAATTTAGAATAAGAAAATAGGGATTCAAATCTATTAAAAATGCTTAGTGCAAAAGAAGCTTGCAAATGAGAACCGTTTGAACTGCAAGAATGGCAAATCCACGATTTCTCAAAATTGAATGTATCAAAACTTTCCTTATACATAGGTCAAATATGAAAGCTTATTCACCATCTAAGTAAAAAAAAACAACTTAACAATCACCCAAACGAAATGCCTTCACTCTACATACATATTTGTATGCCCTTTTAAAAAAAGAATAAATATTTAACAGTAGTAGTTGAATGTGTGTGTTTGTGAGAATGTGTGTGTGCTCTCGAAATGGGTACCAGAAATTGGTAAAAGAAATAAACAGCATATTAGAATCAATTTTGTTTCTTGTTTGATGATATTATGTTTGAAGTCGGAAGAACTTGGGAAGATGATATCGTTCACCACAAATATATTTTTACAAATATCCTGATAGAAAGCAGACCCAGAAATGCTGCAACAGACATATGTAAAATCAAATAATTGACCAAAACAATACTGAAGCCTTTTCTTTATTTTTTAAATATAATAATTCAAAATAAATGACACCTGCTAAAACAAAAGACGATTATGAAAAAAATCACTTTTCTAAACACATGAATAGTGTATTTGATGAAAACAACAATATATACAATTAATTAAGATCTGTTGTACATGTACAGTATCTTCTAATAAAAACTGTACCAGTGATGACATACGAGGGTTGTCAGTTAAAATCGTGGACATTGTGTTTTCAATTATCGCAAAATAAAGCTGAAGTTTTCAGCAATGTTTATTTATCACATTCAAGTACATCTTAATACTTTTTGATAAATTATAAGCAAAGATAAGTATTGTATTATACTTGAATGTGCACAGGGTATGATCCTACGGCGCACGACCAATAAATCTGGATTTTATTAGGGAATATGCAAGTATTATTTCGAAATAAAAGAATTGAATATAACGTTGGGGTAAAAATTTTCATGTTTTTAATTCACTGTCTAATGGGTCGTCACTTGCAAAATTTCAAGGCATTTTGACAGTTTTCCGAGCATTTGAAATGGGCAACACACGAGAAATAGTAATGTTTGATGATGTTACGGCGCATCGGAGAGCAGTTCAGTTCTATGTAGATTAACATATGTAGATAGTCACAGGCTCAAGTCAAATTCATTTCCCGTTTAAAGTCAGATTTTTGCAAATTCTAAGATCGTTATAATGACCTTGTTTGTAAAAACAACGTTATCTTTGAGTCGTATGTTGTCTGAAATGTTTCATACCCTTTGTCAGGCCATTGCTCTTATATTAAACTTGACTACGGAATACTCAATCTACCTGATCAATACATAAGACTCACAGCAGATGTGACTGGTCAACAAGGGATGCTTACTCCTACTAGTCACCTGATCCAACCCTGGTGTTTCCAGGGGACCGTGTTTTTGTCCTGTTCATGATTCATTTTGTTTACTGGAGTTCGTAGATCGATCACTGTTTGTTATCTTCATCTTTTATTTTCTCCCTCGTTTCACTCCTCCGAAAATAAATATTTTCTTGACTAATTTATTGAAAACAAAGAAAAAGAATATATTGTAGGATTGTTGCGTTCGTTACAAATCGCTTTTTATTCAAAATAACACAAATCAATTATATAAATTTTACAAAATAAACAATGCAAGGGCTGGGCGGGCAGGGAAAGCCAAAGACACAAAACGACCTGCGATTCTTTGTAACGAACGTGGCATTAATCGAACATTACCCGGTAAATGCATTTATAGTGAGCGCTAAATCGCTCGTGCATGAAAAACCAGAATTCTTAAGATACGAAAATTCACGGAAAGTACCGAAGCTAAAAACGTAAAGAAATAAATTTATTTTCTCCCTCGTTTCACTCCTCCGAAAATAAATATTTTCTTGACTAATTTATTGAAAAACAAAGAAAAAGAATATATTGTAGGATTGTTGCGTTCGTTACAAATCGCATTAAACAAAGGACAGTGATTGCAATAATATAAATTTTATAATCCAAGATTCATTAAAACAAGTATTTTTTGTTCAAAATTGTCTTTTATATAACCGTCTTTGGCTTTATCCGTGACCCAGCGACCATGTATTTTAAGCAGTCGATCTCACACATTATTATTAGAAGCGGCTGTAACTCCGCCGCTGCGTAAACTATGCAATGAATATTTAGAACTGTCAAGGCCAATTTCATTTAAAGATGACAACAATATTTCTCTAGCTCTTGTGTATGACAGAGGTTTGGATTTATTGGAAGCTTTGAACACATTAAGAGATTTTTACAAAGATTAAAGCTGTAAAAAGATAATCGTCGGAAGACTTATCCATCTTTAACATGTCAATGTATTTATTTAACCAAAACACAAGACACAGATCATTTCCAGTTTTTGCGATTATCACTGAGTTTCCTCTTCTATAGATATCTGTTTTACTTCTGGGAATGTTGATATCGATGTAAACGTTTTCCCATTTAATATCGCATAATCGAATATTTGATAATTCACCGAATCTAAAGAATCCGGAAAAACCCAATAAACACATCACAAACGATCTCAATTTCAGCACATTTGAAGGATCCTTGGAAGAAACATCCATTAATTTACGTAATATATCCTTTTTTGTTGATAGGTTTTGATAACATACGTCTTTCTCCTTCAAGTGCTAGTTTCAGAAACTTGTCCTCGCATGGATTCAAACTTGAAGAAAATTCGTGAGTCCATCTTATGCTGTAGAAATACGCTTCCAGAACGGATGTTGATACCCTCTGTTGCACCAAACCTCCCATAAAAAAAACGACGGTAGATACTGATGCCGGAAGATGTGTAAAGGAATGCTTCAAACACCAGTCTCTGAATTAAGAGAAATATATGTCGTACTTCTTGTTCATGGATTGAGATTTTGCGTTTCTCACGATATCAGGCAAAGACTCCACTATATCACTAAAATGGTGATTTTATTTAAACTTTTCAATATTTATCCATTGGCCTTGATAATTTTTCAATATCTGAAATATATAACAATAATGCACATTAAAATTCAAATCAATTTTGCACCATAGCCAAATGTAGCCACGATAGTATAACACATGCACGTACACACAAAACATTTTATAATCAACATCAAAACAGGAGAGCAGTCCTCCTTGATTTAATTTAAGCAGTCATCAATTTATATGATTGTTAGTACCAGAATATTATGTTAATTATAATCTTATATTTGAGTTGCAGTCATTCAAAGTTAACACATCATATCTAGGAGAGCAGTCCTCCTTATTGGATAACAGTCATCCAATTATTTCATTACAATACGCATGCACATTGTACACTGGCTAGCAGTCAACCTTTGTGTACTATCTGTCCATATTTCACAATCAAAGCATGCTAATTGCACATAGTACATTGTTACAGTGACTTAATTACGAAGCATCCAATCTCAGTGCTATAACATTACTGATAAATTTGTGAGATGCAAATATGCTATTTTTATCAGAACCCGAAATGAAAAAAAAATTGTTGGTTTTTCATATTCTATCATATCTTTCACAAACCACAAAAACTTTCCATTTTTGTCGATCAAAGATGGCCAAAAAGCTGCTGATTTCCATTTAGGAACAATTAAGGTGCCCTTAGCCCCGGAATTTAATAAATGTTTTATTGTCCTCCCTATCAAATAAATGGGAGGAACAATCCAATTCAAATCTTGTGACCAGACAAACGAAAATGCGGCGACGCCGCTTGTTCCAGGAGACCAAAACAAAGAATAAAATTTTTTCACTTTGAAATTGTTGCAACTCGCAAAATTATCACAAGTGTAAGGTCCCCAAACCTTATTGAAAAATGCAAAATATGATTGCTTATACCCCAATCGTCAAAATCTGCTTCTACGTTTTGATCTCGTGGAACCCAGGCTACAGAAAAATCGATATTTCTAATCAAACAATTTGTGTATATAGAAAAAGCAAGAGTTTGTAAATCCGAATTCATGCTGCCGATCTGCAAAATTCTAACGACGTTTTGATTGTCTGTGTATAGTTTTACAAATTTATTTTCTAAAACCCCACCAAAAGTTTCCATGAACATTTCAACTGTTTTAAGTTCTCTAAAAGTTGAACTCTGAACTCTGTCTGATTCGTCCCACATAACATGAAAAACTTTCTTAGTAGAATCTATCATCAGGCCACCGCCTGCAAAATCACTAGCGTCAGTAAAAGCAATGCGTTCCGGTATGCGATACCATGGAGAAATAACCCTGGCGGGAATTGATAGGCTATTTTTTAACCGAAACTCTAGCTCACACCACGCGGGAAGTGAAATATTAATATTTTCATCCCAACATGATGCATTTGCAATTAGCATTGACAATTGTCTAGTTGTTATTTGACAAACAGGCCCAAGTGCAAACTTAAATGAAATAATACTGCCTACTACTGAAGCGAGATCTCTGGCAGAATTTTTTTTTTTTAAGTTTAATTACCTTACTGCACAAACTTTCTAATTTATGCCGAGGAATACCAATAGACCCGACTTCTAAATTCCACTCAAAACCTAGCCACTCTAATTTTTGAATTGGATTCCAAACGTTCTTTTCTTCATTAACAAGAAAACCAGCATGCAATAAGTCTTTTTGAATATCCTGTGACTTTAAAATACAATTTTTTTTTTGAATCGCAAACCCAGCCATCATCTAAATACATAATAACTCCATACGCTTTTGTTCTCCAATGCAATACTAATGGTCTTAATTCTTTAGTGAAAAAGTAACCCGCACTGCCGAGGCCGAAGGGGAGGACCGTGAATACAAAATAACGCTTTGAGCCATTGAAATTTCAAGAAAACCCCAAGTATTTGTAAAAATCTGGATGAATGTTTACGTGATGATATCCGCATTGTTAAATCAAATTTGATCATAAATAAGCCTTTTTTTTGGGGGGGGGGGCAAAATTGAGACCCTCTGAAGACCCTTCGAATTTGAAATTTCTCTTTAAGACGCATGCATTGACATGTCTAAGGTCAAGAATCAACCTTGGCTTTTTATTCAATGGCGCAGAAACGGTCAGTGGATTTACACAAAGGGGCGGTTCAAATCATTCAATCACTAACTCTTTTTTCAACAATTTTAATATGGCCTTTTCAACAAAAAGGGTGCTCTGCAGTGCTGATTTGTTGTTAGACAAAAATACAACTTCAGGAAATGTAATAAATTCTATCCTATAACCAAATTTGATAACATTTAAAATATAATCGTATGGTTTTATAACATTCTTCCAAAATTCAAAGGAGTTTTTTAAACGATCTTCAACTGAAATGTTAGATTTTGAATCAAAGTCAGATTTCTGTTCTAATAAATGACTATCATACTCAACTTCACTGCAGGTCTGCTGTTGATGTTGGAACAAGTGCTGTTGTTTGGGTTCTCTGGGGATTTGTGGACTGTATACGTAGTTGCTGGGTATACGGGCAGAGTCTTGCAAAGTGACCCGGGAGTCAGCAGTAGTGGCAGACGATGTTTGCGACCTGTGTTTCGGAGGAAATTAAATCTGTGACACCTATAAAATCGCCAGATGTGAGTTTTTGTGACAATAGCTCTAAACCTCGCAGTGTTTGCTGGTTTAAGTTTATCTTGAACTTCAGAAAGAATAATTTTTTTTTTTCAAGAGGGGCGTCTAACCTGCTGTTGAATAGACTGACAGCGTCAATAACATCAAAATCCTGTCCAAATTTGGAGTTAGTCTCTGTCTGTAATTCTCGAGGAACATCTCTATCAGAAGTTGTACTTGAAAATTCTGTAGACAAGCCAAAGACACAAAACGACCTGCGATTCTTTGTAACGAACGTGGCATTAATCGAACATTACCCGGTAAATGCATTTATAGTGAGCGCTAAATCGCTCGTGCATGAAAAACCAGTATTCTTAAGATACGAAAATTCACGGAAAGTACCGAAGCTAAAAACGTAAAGAAATAAATTTACATTCATATCTCAAAAACACCCCCTTTCCCTGTAAAATTGTAGTAGAAGGTGAAAATAATAAACATTATGTTAAGTGTCTACGATGTAGTTTTTAAGTGACCTCATTATAGAGAGGGGATGAAAAGGTTAATCTGATTGCTCAGTTCTAAGAATTGGAAATGACATATGTCACAAGAAACCTTTCTAATACGATTTTTATTTTTGTAAACGGTTCTCTAATGATATTCATTGATATGATCCCATATAAAGCTTAAAGTTAACAGCATTTCATACATTTCCTTTTTTCAATGAAGGTCTGAGATTTTTAATTTTGTAATATTAAGAATCACACTAACGTATGGCAGGTATTTTCTCTATCAAACATATCATAATTCATAATAAACAAGATGTGTTTGTGAAACAATGATGCCCCCGTATGGCAGCTTATGGCAAAGGTTAAAGTTTCTTAAATGCAAGTCAAACTCCAGGTCAAGAAATCAAAAATGTTGGTACCCACAGAAAGGTCTTGTTTCGAGGAACATACTTGTGAAATATGAAAGCCCTAGTACAAACCGTTGAAAAGTTATGGCGAAGGTTAAAGTTTTTTCAAAGTAAGTAAAACAGCAAGGTCAAGGTAAAATGGTGCCCAAGGGAAGTTCTTGTCACAAGTGATACACATTATCGTGAAATGTGACAGCCCTAGAACCAAACATTCAAATGTTAAGGCCAATGTTAAAAAGTTTTAAAAGTAGGTCAAACTCCAAGGTCAAGGTCAATGCCAAAACTGTTGGTATCCAAAGGAAGGTCTTGTCACAAGGAATATACATGTGAAGTATGAAAGCCCTAACACCAACTGTTGAAAAGTTATGGCGAAGGTTAAAGTTCTAAAAAATAGGTCAAACTCAAGGTCAAGGTCAAAGGTTCAGATTTGTTGGTATCTTATGGAAGATCTTGTCACAAGGAATATACAAGTGAAGTATTAAAGCTCTAACACCAACTGTTCAAAAGTTATGTCCAAGGTTAAAGTTTTTCCAAAGTAGGTCAAACTCCATGGCCAAGGTCAAAAGGTCGAAGTTGTTGGTATCTAAAGGAAAGTCCTCTGACAAGGAATTCATATGTAAAGTATGAAAACCCTAGCACTAATGGTTCAAACGTTGTGGTCAAGGTTAAATTTTTTTTAAAATTGAAATAGGTCAAACTCCAAGGTCAAGGTTAAAAGGTCAAAGTTCTTGATATGCAAAGAAAGGTCTTGTCACAAGAAGTATACATGCGAAGTATGAAAGACCTAGCTCAAATTGTTAAAAAGGTATGGCCAAGGTTAAATTTTTTCAAAAGTAGGTCAAACTCCAAGTTCAAGGTCAAAGGGTCAAAGATGTTGGTATCCAAAGAAAGACCTTCTCACAAGAAATACACATGTGAAGTTTGAAAGCCCAAGCTTTAAGTGTTCAAAAGTTATTGCCAAGGTTAAAGTCTCAAAAAAATTTGCAAAAGTGGGTCAAACTCCAAGGTCAAGGTCAAATATGATGGTACCCAAAGAAAGGCCTTGTCACAAGAAAAACACATGTGAAATATGAAAGCCATAGCTCCAACCAATCAAAAGTAATGGGCAAGGTTAAAGTTTTTGCGGACAAACAGACAGACAGACAGACGGACGGATAGGGCAAAAACTATATCCCCCCCCCCCCCCCCGAATCTTCGATTACAGGGGCATAAAAATTGAAAAATTCAAAATCTTATACGTAAAAGAAAAAAAAAACACTTGCTGTGGCATTCAACTCGACATTTAATATATCGACGATGTATTGTCAATTAACAATGGTTATTTTCTTTCTTATGTCGATACGATATATCCCGATGAACTTGAAATTAAAGATACCACAGAGTCTGACAGGTCTTTTTCATATTTGGATATTTTACTAGAAAAAGACGTTAATGGTAACCTACCAACCAAGCTTTAACTTTAACTTTTCAATCGTCAATTTCCCTTACGTATGCAGCAGTATACCATTATCACCTGTACGGGATTTATATCTCTCAGTTGATTCGATACGCAAGAACATGCTCTACGTATGAACAATTTCTAAAGCGAGGTAATTATTGACAAACAAGTTGACGAAACAAGAATATCAGCAGTCTCGTTTAAAGTCGTCATTTCGTAAGTTCTATGGTCGATACAATGACCTTGTCAGCAAATTCAATTTATCATTAAGCCAAATGCTGACTGACGTTTTTCATACTAATTGTTAGGCCATTATTTATACACTGAATTGTCGACGGATTTTTCCGTTATTTCCCGATCATGACAAGGAGCATACGGCGGGTTTGATCGGTCAGCAGGGGATGCTCAATCCTCCATGGCACCCGAACCCACCTCTAATGTTTTAGAGGTCCGTGTTTACTCTGCTCCATATTTTGTATTGTTTAATGGACTTTTGATCTTGAATACTGTTCGTTATCTCCATATATATTAAAAAAATATTTCTATTTGTAAGTTAAATAGAACCTGGGATTTTAAATGCAACTTAAAGCGTTAAGCATAGTCTCCGCTTGATCAAGCTAGAACATAAAATTTCAGTTACCTCTCATTCCATTGATATCCACTGTTATTTTCAGTCTTTTTGGCACATACAAACCACGGCTTCTGTTGTTCTCTAATACAGTTGTGAGAATGTTTGGGAAAACACCGTTGTTGATGGCCTTTGTTATGTTTGATTCAGGACTAAACTTAATGACCAGTGCTATGATAATATATTTAAAACAATCATGGGATACATTAATTTTATATAAATTCTAGTAAACATATTTACAAATTTTTAACTACTTTCAAAAGCAAATGAATATGGAACAAAATGATGTTAAACTAAATCAAATTCTTCAAATGTTATTTTTTGATAAATTGAAAGTATAAAGGAAATTTATATGTTAATCAAAGTTAGGTACTATTTCTATTTATTCCTATGCGTACAAATGCTACACATTATAGCTACATGTATGACTGTAATACTTATTAATGTTGTGATTACAGTTTTTCCTTGTATAGCTGCACTGCTTTTTTAATAAGGAATATTGGTCTTCATGTTGAAAATAACTATCACTTTTTAAAAGAAATAAAATTTAGGGCTAAATTTAAAGAAAGAGGGTGCATTTGATTGTTATTTTGCAAGACTCTGAAAGCAATTGATCTGCCACATAAAATTTTAGCATTTTCATTGGGGAGAGGTATTTATCGGGTCCCTGAGTAATAGGAAAGGAAAATATTTTCCCGAAATTGTATTTTTTGATTTGCTAAAACATAACTTGAAAATTGGGTAGATGGGTGATTTGATACAAAATGCTATATTTTTAAACTCCTTTTTCTAAAAAAAAGAAAAAGAAGAAGAAGAAGAAAAAAAACAAACAAACAAACAAAAATGCTCTATCTGGGTCACCTCTCTATTATTTAAAAAATAGTGATAGTTTTATGTTGTTTTAATAATTATGATATACAAATGAATAGTTTATTAATTATACATTTGTGAACATATTATATAATTATGCTAACTGCGGGTGTGACCGGTCAACAGGCGATGTTTACTTCTCCTAGGTACCTGATCCCACCTCTGGTATTTCCGGGGGTCCGTGTTTATATCCCGTAAACAGATTTGTATTGTTTGCAGAGTTTTTGAGATCGATCACTGTTCGTTATCTTCACCTTTTTTCACCCCTACTGATTTTAAATTCAACTACATGTGTTAAATGGGCCTGGACACACATTTGAAGTTAATATTTTCTCAAAATTTCTGTATAATATCATGACTTATATGTTGCTATAACTCATTCATGTGTGCAGAGTATAACAAATTGAACACACCCGATGAAACTTAAACATTAACAATAACAGAGCTTGTGACCTGTTTACAAAAACAGTTCACGTTTCACCGGGTGTGTTCAATTTGTTAAACTCTGCACACATCACTGAGCACGGACTGACAATACTGGTAAGTTGGTTTTGCTTTCTCACATTTCTACTCTGAATTTTATGGATTATAGTTTTTAAAAAAATAAATGTTTACTTTGTAAAAGTGCAAGAATGAGTCAATCAAACGCGTCCCGATTTTTCGTAGTTTCAATAATTTCCAGATAAGAGAAGTTTTAATTATATTTCCGTGTGAAATGCTGTAGCAACATATTTGTCATAAATATTATACAGAAAATTTGAGAAAATATTAACTTCAAATCTGTGTCCAGGCCCCTTTAATTAGTGTCTCAATCAATACTGACCAAGACAAATATTTTATTAATCAAATGATATAATTTAATAAAATAATTTATCAAATAAAATAACTTTCTAAATAAAATAAACTAATTACAATAAAATGAACAATCAGTTGAAATTTTAGACCCATCCCTCGTACTACTTGTACACCTAAAATAAGCTAAATGAGTAGTATTCTTGTAATCCTATTGGCTAAACTTTTATTCCAAAATTCTTGACATCAAAGACATTATTCATATTTATTTCATACATACATGTTCGAGATGTTATCAATAATTTGAACTTTGAACTAGCTACCCGAATATATTTCAAAGTCTGTGATTTATCTGATTTATCTGAAATTAATAAACTAATGGAAACAATGAGTATGAAAGAGTTGAGAGTGAATGCTATTATTTTAATAAAGTACATAAATGATAAACAGATAAAGTGCCAGTGTTAATTACACAAAGGTACCAGACACTCTGATCCATGTACCTACATTTTATATTTTGATAAATGTACTTATCATTTTTATATACTTTGAATAAATAAGTGGACTTAAATTCACGCAATTATTATAAGAAATAATTGCAAAACAGTTCAATATATGATTGAAGAGAATATATATAAACTGCAGATTTTTATAAAATGCTGTAAAAAGGGGAATAACTCTCTCATACTATGCATAGTTAGAACGTAACAGTATATTGTATGTTTAAAGATTGTCATCCTGTTTTTGTGTCGCCAGCAGAGCAGAGCGGCACTAAGGGATCACTTTATCCGGTGTCTGTATGTTTGTCCGTTCCTCTGTCACACTCTATATCTCGAGAGTTGTGAGAGATATGGATTTGGCACATATATTTCTTTGCACTATGGCTTTTGTAAAATACCATGACTACCGACCTCGTGACCCTTGCCTTGACCTTTGACCTACTTTTCAAAATAGTTCATAGTGCCGATAGACAGCATATTTTTGAAATTTAAGAGGCAAGTCTATGCTATTTAGCATGTACACTGTTTGTCATAAGACAATAAATATCAGTATTACAATCCACTTGACCCTGACCTTTGACCTACTTTGCAAAAATACCCTGAGCAGTTTAATTTAACTTATGACTTTCGAAATTTGAGAGGCAGAATTTGATAATTAGCATTTATACATGTTTATGAGCTCATGATACTGTACTTTGAAATTGTATGATATTCAGATATATTTAAAAACTATGAAAATACATTGGGATCTGTATTCTACAATGGATTGTGTAGACTGACAATTTTAGTAAAGACAGAATGAAGTCTCTTTTGGAGGATTGTTGGAAACACGTATTAATAAAATGATAAACAGTTATTTCTAATACATTGTAATTTCAATTTAATTATTCATTGGAGGTTTAGGGAACAAAATTTTCTTTGATTGTCAAGTTCTATCGCAGTCTCTTACTATCCATGGATGCCATTTTTTCTTTGCAGGCAAATACATGAACTATCATACTAATAGTAAATAAAAAACCACTCTTAGATTTATTTACATCTTTAATGAAGCTACGAAGCAGGCGACACATGCGTTCCTTGGAACACTCTAGTTATCATATTGTACTAATACTATTTATATGTATATTTACAGGGTGAATATTGTTTTTCTAATTATTAATTACAAAATACCACTGGGTAATAAACCATCAACAAACCCACAGATGTCTTCTTGTTTCTTTACTAGTATCTACAAGATCCCTCTTACAGTTATTTGTGTGCATTTTAATTCAAACAAACGACCTAACCATTGTAAAATGTTGAGAGAAGAACCAGAGATCATAAAAATAAACTTTTCCAAAAGAATTACATTGTGTGATTGCAGCACTTCACTGCCGTTTTAAAATCCACACGTGTACATGTATTATGTGTAGCGATGATAGCTCAGCAGTAAGCATTATTATCAGTCCAGAGCAAGCAGGAATAAAGAATTTTTTTGTTCGATCCTCACTAGGTCAGTTGTAATTTTTTGTTATTCAAACAATCAAGTCGTTTGTCTTATTAATTTTATGTACTAATTTATTCAAATTTTAAAATAGATAAAGATTCAGCGGAAGTAATTCTTCCAACCAACTAAAATCATAATATATTTATACTCTATTATCTTATAGTAGTTTATTATTTATCTGAAGGGTAACTATGTCGTCCTAACTATTAAGATAAGCAGACTTAATTAAATATTACAATTTGACAAGGTATTTCAATGTAAATGACACACTTTACTATGTGAGTAACTTTGTAAAGTCTGTCCAGCTGTGCGCCGCCGACCAAAAATCTTGGACATTTAAACTATAGGCCTAAATGTTCGTACACGATTCCTGCAGATAACAGACAAATACTCCAATCTTCTTTTTGTTATAATCGTCAGAAGACTTTTCTTTTTAAAAAAGCATTTGTAATTCATTTATTTTAAAAAGCTTGCTTATATAGTGCTTGTACTTACAATGGCCTGTCTGATCTGGTCCGTTCTGCGTCAACTGTGTATCAATAATTAGGCCGATTCTCATTTGCTGAACTTTGGAAAGGAAATCTCGAGTCTCATCACACCACAATATTGCTCTAATGATAGAGAGAATTCCCTCTTTTGCTAATAATCTTGAATAACTGACACAACCTTTTACTTTCAAAGTAACATGTATCGTCTTTTTCACCTGAGTTATGCTCTGAATTTCACAGTGTCCTAATTTTCCAAGTTCGCTGTTGATTCTTTTTATTTTGAAATCACCATTTACAACCAGCAAATGTTCAATTGATGAAAATGTTATATCCTCTGGACAGACCACATTGCCTTTTATTCTGATCCAAATGTAGTTGTCATTTGCTACAAATGTAGATAATTGGAAGCTCATACATTTCAAGAATTAATGTATTTAGCAAAATTGAAAATTGAAATGTTGACCATACCTAATCTATCATATCATGCTTAGATATGAAATAGATGACAAAACTTTACAGCTTTTATAAATGTAAAAACTATGCTATATACCTCCTGTTGTAAAATCGTAATGCAATAGATTATGGAACAAATCAGTCAATATGACGTCGACGTCACATGTACACTCGGCAAATTTCCATGTCAGATGTGAATACCAATGAAACTTCGGTAAATTTTTCACGTGAATGCGTTCCTTTGTGACTACGAAAAGTAAAAAAAAAAAAAAAAAAGAGAAAAGTACATTAATGTAATAATGTTATGTTCTGGAGAATAGTTATTTTCATAACATGACCTAGATAAGAATGTACTTCAGCATCTCCCCGTTTAGTAATATTTCTTTCATGAGTTTAAGCAATTATTTTGATAACCTTCGCCTTTTATGCATAAGCTGTGTATAACGCGTGTGTCTATGCTAAGTTTTACTTTGCTTTAAATGTGGTTTGTTTGTCTTTTGTTGCTGTTGTTATGTTCTTTGTGTATGCGTTGTCTGGTGTAGATAAGACAAATAGTATTCAGCGTATTAATATTTTTTTTCAAAATGTGATAATAGGTCGAAATATGATAAAACTTCATTAGAGTAACATATCGGTAGTGAAGAATGTAGTACCAACTTAACTCTGTTCTGGCCATTTCTGATTCCTGAAACTTGAACCCCCAAAATATGTAATTTGCAATATGAACTGACGGAAACTGACTCCTAAAAATTAGGTGGGAAGTTTTCCTTTAGGATACAGGTATATTTGCTATTTTTAGCATATATTCAACTCTTCTCATATGTACTGTATTTCAAATTTAATGAAATTTTCAATAGATTCGAGAAGACCATATTATTAAGTGATGGTAGCAATCAGACTCAATTTTACAGTTTCAAAACATGTAACTCAATTTTAAGAGCAAGATACTTTAAAAAATTTTTAAAAAAAAAAACAACAAATAACATAAAATAAATAGATAAAATAAAATGTTGACCGTCAAATAAGAGAAAAAGAACTTTATTTGCTTATTTTACTCAAATCTGTTCATAGATCGGTAGCCTCCCAATTAAATGCTAAGAAAATTACATAGCGGGTTCCAGTAAATGTTCTACGAAGCCTTTTTCTTTACTCCTCACTAAAATATTAACATCAGTGAAGAGAAACTTCAGAATTACTGTATAACAATATATTCGAGAAGTGGTGTAAATCAGATGTGAATACTTAAAAACTCCAACGAACCTTTAGAAAATTTTGAAAGCACTAAATTTTACCTAAATCAATACATCAAAACATACGCCTTTTTAACACTTTATTCATCTGAAATATAATCCTCCATCGTGTTCATGTTCTTCCTTACCCTACAACTACAGTCCTATTGAAATGTTATTACTGGTGAGGTAAATATAGTTAATAATGAGTACCTTAAATCACTTATTTTGAAAGGGTAAAAATTTAGGGAACTCCGATCTTTCAACTGGCGTCTTAATTCCATTAATTTTATGAATGCTGAAGAATACACCAGGCAATGGAGCAAATATGAAAAAGAAGACCTCCAAACAGTGTCAAAATTTACCAAAAGTATCAGATGGATGTTAAAATCTCGCATTAAGCGATTGAAGGACAATATAAAAACCATCTATCATTCTGTCTTCAATAATTCAGACGTGAAAAAAGAATTAGATACATTACACGATCAGTATGTACTGGTCCAAGCTGACAAAGAATGCAATATCATTGTCTTTGTTTGTAAGGTTCATTATTAAAATTGTATTTTAAAGGGACCGGGATTTAATTCTGCAAGTGGTAATCCAACTTATACCCATAGCTCCCTTCCTAAGGAGAACATTTTTCATAATTATATGCATGTCAGTTTTAAATATTTAAAATACTCTCAACAATCAAAATGAATTTGAATTACCATACCTATACTGGATTCCTAAACTTAATAAAAAATTAAACAAAGATACATAGCAGGTTCCAGGAAATGTTCTACCAAGCCTCTTTCTTTACTCCTCACTAAAATATTAACAGTAGTGAAGGAGAAACCTAAGGAGAACTGTTCAACAATATATTCGAGAAGTGGTGTAAATTAGATGTGGATACTTAAAAACTCCAAGGAACTTTTATAAAAATTGAAATCACAACATTTTACCAAAATCAATAGCATCAAAACGAACGACTTTTCAACATTTAATACAACCATTCCCCACGATAACTTAAACTCCAAGCTTTTTAACACCATAGACAGCTGCTTCTACAATAAAAATGGAACTCTAAATTTACTTACCTTGTCATTGGTCATTTGCAAAATTATTTTGTTAAAAACATTCTCATTGTATTCACAAGTACTCTGAAGATGATATCAAAAAGATGTTTGAGTTTCTGATTGAATTTATCTATGTAGTTTTTGGAGATTAGGTCTTCCAACAATCTGCCGGAATGTCCATGGGTACCAATTGTGCTCCGTTATTAGCAAACCTATTTTTTATTCATATGAAGCAGAATTTATTCAAAAGCATATACATGAGAAGAATTAAGAAAACACTTGCTGTGACCTTCAACTCGACATTTAGACATATCGACGACGTATTATCAATTAACAATAGTTACGTCCATTCATACGTAGACTCGATATATACCAGTGAGCTTGAAACAAAAGATCCCAAAGAGTCTGACACATCTGTTTCATATTTGGATATTTTTCTAGAAAAACACATTAATGGTAACCTAACATCAAAACGTTATGATAAACGTTATGACTTCAACTTTTCTTTCGTCAGCTTCCTTTATTAATATCGTGAAAAAAAATTACAACTGCAATGTTTGATTTTTTTTTAATAATCATTCGAGTGGAATGCTTGCCATTTGTTTAGGGATATAGTAGATAGAAACCGCGGGCACTGGGGACTATGCCCCCCTAAATTTGCCAGTATATACGAGGCAATAGAAAACAAAGCTAAATTATGGTTATGCCCCTCAATGATTTTGCCCGTATATATTATACGATGGAAAAAAAATCTTATTTCATCGATGCCGCCCTAAAAGTGAAATTACTTCTAACAGGCCTGAATCGTAATGGTTTTGGCTCCAGTATATTGTAGAAAAGATCATACAATTCTTCCTATATCCAGTGTTAAGCGTACTTTCTACAATGTTTTGATCTATTAGAATTTACAACATATAAAGAATGTCCCTCATGGGCGTTTCCACCTCATTTACTAATTTAATCAATTGTTTCGGGAATTCTTGAAAGAAAATATCATTTAACATTAAAGTTTTAACATTTCCGAGCAATATTTAGTAGATGGAATGCAACTTCAAACTATTTCTAAATTCTACCAAATATCACTTTTAACTTCGGCCATTGCTGTCAAGTGCAGGGAGATGTCGTTATTTCCGGGGATGGTAAAATGTATTCCAAGTGTGTTGTGAAAAAAGTGATGACGTTTGTACATTTGGACCGATTACAGATCTTAAAAACAATTCCTGCAAATCTTGGGGAAAATGACTTATAAGGATACTAGTTTGAAGGCCAAGATATTTATGTATTTTTAGGCATGATGCAAAACGTGAGGAAGTTGGTATTTGTGACCAACTATAAATCCAACAAGCTACTAAGATGATATGGGAAATCTATGTGCTTACCATAATCAAGATAATATTCCTGAGGATTATAAATATATCCAAATACTGTCACATTTTCGCGACTATGCTTTTTAAATACTTCTTCTGTCTTTTCCTTTTTAAAAATACACCGAAATATCTTGTCAAGAGTTTTCTCCAATGTATCATTGACTTTGTATATAAATGAAATCACCAGACTTCCACGTTTTATTTCATTAATAGAAACGTCGTTGTCTTTTAAAGCAGGCATCTCGTTGATTTCCTCAATGTTCAGGTTAGTTGCGTTTTCTGCCAACTCTTGGAATGCTGGATCGTCTGAATGAAGCACAGCTGTAGCTTGCACTTAAAATATAAGAACGGTATGAAAATTCTTTATACACAAAGGAATAATGTACATATTTTGTGATAAACTATGTAACATGCTTGCAAGATTAAAAATAATTATATTCACCATGTCCTGTTGATGTGTAGTCTAGCCTACCAACTCGATTGTCCTTTAACAGGTACAATATAAATGTATTGTTGTTTCCTCCTTGGGCAACGTTAACTCGCCCCTTGAAGGATGAATCAACATTCATTTCAATAGTATTTCCATCACCTGCTTGAATAGCATCAGCATGCACCTCTTTAAGAAGAAAAAAATACTTTATTTGAATATAATTACCCCCTTATGGCCCATGATCTGACATGATGTCAGATCAGCAAATGACTTAATTTCACATATTGACCTCATAAGGAGTAATCAATTGTTTTATTATACCGATATTAGATAAAATAATTTCGTGGTTATATCTTAAATTGTATTTGGTAACTTTTTCCTTATATTACCCTCAAAAGGTTATATTAAATAATCTTTTTTTTTCTTTTTGTCAAAACATTTCAGTAACATTCACACGCTACATACATACATATATATAAATTATATAAAGAGAGAGAGAAAGAGAGAGAGAGAGCATCTGTAATATTTGAAAATGTAATTTGCAGAATTGTTGTTTCCAATATGAGCAATTTATGTACTTTGTACAGTTTTATGTACAAAGTATTTACATTATCATTCTTAACAAATATATTCTCTTAAAAGTTTGTATTTTGTTGCTTCTCTGATCTGATAATGTAATTATCAACTTTAAAGATTAGACACTTACATTCTGAGCAAAATATTGTATGCCATACTGAAAATATTACGGAAACCGGTAGGTGCCAGGTAAAAAAAAAAAATTTTATCTGAGGCTGCCAAATAGTTTTCTGGCGGCCGCCAGAAAGTTATCTGGCAGGCACCAGACAATCATTTGGCGGTCGCCATATAATTTCTGGCGGCCGTCAGGTAAGTTTCTGGTGGCCACCAGATAAAATATTTTTCTACCTGGCACCTACTGGCTACCGTAAAATATACATGTATATAAAAAGACAAACATATATAAATATATGTATAAAGATAAAAAAATATATATAATTACCTAAGCTGCCTTTTCTTGCCAAACATATTTCCTTGTAGAAGTCCTGACCAAACTCTTTAAATTCCTGTCGATAACTCATCCTCCTTCCTATGTTCATCAGTATTGTAAATACTTTGTTACTGTCATTATCTGAAACTGTCCAGTTCACATTGTTCTCTATATTCTCCTTCCAAATCCTCCATATTCTTTGGATATCGTCCGATACACCATAACACTCTTCTGGAATTATTTCATTCGAATACCAACTAATGGTTGGCGGACCGAAAAATCGATCACAAATCCCCAAACGAAATATTTCACAAAGAACCGGAAAATTTAATTGTTGTATTCGTTTCAGTCTTTCTAAAGTAGATTTTGATCCATCGGATAAATTTTCCAAAGGAATTGCTTCTTTAAGTTCCTCATATCGTCTAAATTTCAGTTTCAAAATATTGCGGAAAAGATTTGTGCAAGGCGTTTTAAAACAATTTCTTAGTTTATCAAAGTTTTCCTCCCCTCCGTCAGACTCATTAGTACATGTACTCATGTTTTCTGTATTTTCTATTCTTCATCAGATGAGATGAGGAAATGTATTCCTTACCTTTTTTTAAACATACATTTCCGATGCATTTTGAACATGATGTAATCTGTACATTTTAAACTACCTAAAACACCAATAGAAAAAACTTGACAAAAAACAAAACCTAAGATAAAACCGAGAGTATCCATTTCAATAAAGGGCTTAAAATACTCGTCTTTGGGTGAAGTTAATCTTTTTCTTCAAGATAAATGACGATGCAATTTAAACAATTTTTGTAATGGTTCATTTACCTTGTGATATAACTTTTTTCTCTTTAACTTGTGAATAAAAATACAAAACATTTAAAGGCATAAAATGACTAGAGAATTTTCCATAACCTCAAAACAAAGAGCTAGAGCCAAGAGCCATCGAAATGTTCCTTGTTACAACGCGAAATGTAATAACAAGGCAAAATGTAATAATCTGGGATTGTTACATTTTTCTTATTACATTTTGCGTGGAAATCAACGCAGAATGTTTGAACGCAAAATGTTATAACAAATTTTTTAGGATTACTACTTTTTGCGTCGAGATTAACGCAGAATGTAATAATGTACTTTTTAATAATTACATTTTGCGTTATTTAATTTTTGCGTTGAAAGCAACGCAAAATGTAATAAAATGAAAATGTAACAACACAAAACATGATAATTTTTTGTATTGTGTTTACAATTTGTAACGCAAAACATCATAAAATTGATTTAAGCATTAAATATATTTTATAAAATATGAATAAGTATTGTACCGAAGTGGATGAGTTGGTTAGGAGTATAAAATGCTTTCAAGGTCCTTTATATAATTTTCCTTTGTTTATACATTAAAAAAGCTTTGTCTGATGATGATTTAAAATCAGCAGAATTTAATCTATGATATAATTGGCGAATCAAATACTAGTTACTCGAAAAAATATACGTAAACACAAGACATGGGCATGTCCTTTTACATTTTAAAAAATTTAAAAAATAATAAAAATTGTCATGTCTAAAAGCCAGGAAATCGGCACATTATATTTGATCCCTTGAAATGGAACTTGCATTATTTCGTAGATCAGGAAACGGCTAATAACAAAGCAATATATAATCATTGGTGTGAAAATCATTCTCAAGCAAACTGACCAAAAGGTGTTTTTTACATTTTTATTGTTGCATTTTGCTTAATTTCGACGCAAATTATATTAATATAAAATATAATAATCCAAAAATATCTTATTATATTTAACTTTATTAGATTTTACGTTTACTTCAACACAAAACATGATAACGCAAAATGTAATATTCCTAAAAGTTTCTTACAACATTTTGCGTTATTATATTCTGCGTTGATTTCGACGCAAAATGTAATAAAGCAAAGTGCATGTAATAATCTCTGATTATTACATTTTACGTTGTTGTTACATTTCGCGTTGCAAGAGTGCCTTAACTAAAAAATTAACGAGGTCTTCGATATAGATAATGTTGACTTTTAATTTTCCATTACTGTTTTTCTTTTTAAGATATCTATTATACTTTTTCAATAATAGATTTTACAGTATAGCATTGTTTTATGGAAATTTGCGCGAGGAACGTCATCATTTATAACGTAACGTCATAACGTTACATCGTAACGTCGTGAAAAATTCCACTGCAATTATATGAATACATTTAAAAACTTGAAATTGGAATAGAGAAGGATTTTATCAGCATCTTGATCAGTTTACCAGTACCAAAGCATATGGGATTTTATTTCATATTGCAGTTTATGCTAGTGTAACTAATTGCATTATACATGTGAGAGCTGCAATAGTCCTAGTTACATGTATGTACATGTATGGATTGATTGATTGTATGTTGTTTTACATCCCGTTCTAGATATTCACTGATATAGAGACGTCACCATATACCAGTGAAGGGCTTCAAATCTAGACCTTTACTCGGCACTCGGAGCCATTGAGCAGTGTTGGTTTTTTATCGTGCCGACGCCTACCGTGACACGGGGCCTCGGTTTTTTAAAAGGTCTTATCCGAAGGACCCGCAACTTTCACTTCAAAGTGCGGAGCGCCTGGCGAAGGAACAGTTGCTACCTATTTATTTAACGACTTAGATCACTCGCGGTCGTGATTCGAACACATGACCTTCCAATCATGGTGAGAGCGCTCTACTGACTGAGCTACCGTGAGTCTTTACTGAAAGAAAAAAAAAAAACGAATGTTGCACCATGAAAAAGCTTCTCAGCCTATTTTACATATTATTTTTTTTCCCTAGTATGATTGGCAATATTAGCATATTTGAAGTTGCGTTTGCAAAAATCATAGAACTGTGCCCAAAAATATTGTATCACATTTTGTCAGAATCAAGTACGTGATTCCTGTCAGCGTATCTAAAGTGGCAAGTTTTGAGGGAGTGGGTAACGAGGATGTAACCCACTCTTTAAATTTCTAGCCAATAGAAAACCAAATTCTGGCCATGTCTTTCCTGTGCACAAATTAAGCGTTCTTGCTGTGTGATACGATGTTTAATGTATGAGTTTTAAGGATAAAAGTAAACAAAAATCTTTTTTTTTTCCTTACATCAAAAATCCTACTTGTAAGGAGTTACATAATGCATATGTGCATGATAATGTAGATTATGCATTTATCTATAATGAAAAAGAAAGGGGAGTATATTGCCAGCATTTCTATCACAATCGAAGGGCACCCCTAACAAATATTTACTATAGTAAACTAGTTAACTATTGTTAACTATAGTAAATACATGTGCTTTGATACTTTGATTTACTATGAAACTTTTTGGAACTTTTTGAGATTTCAAAGTTAAAATGTCATAAAATTGATATCAGTAATGGAAAATTTTGAGATATGTTAATACACAAGAGGGTAATCAAAAAGTTCGCGAATTAATTTGAATTACTTCCATAAAAGAAATAAAATAAGGTTTCAATGTTTATTATTTTTTAAAGTGGTCATCTCCGATTTTAATGCATACTGCCACCGTGCTGCCCATGCGCGAATCACGTGATCCAGGCGGTTTTTAAAGGATATACATTAACATGTATTTATTTTTTTTAAAGTTTAAATAATGATCAATGTGCACTAAATAAAGAAGTTTCCGTAGAATTTAAAACTTCTCTCTAAATTTCTCCGAGGGAGACTTCAGGTCTCCCTAAATTGGGTCTAGGTTAGTAGGTTGGTCCCTGAGTTCTTTCTGTATTTACCGGTTTAAGAAACTTGTTAATCAATTTTTTTTTATTTTTAAAGTACGTGTTATTATGCTTCAGTCGCGGATGGGCTTGTGGCGGGACAGACTGACAGACAGCTAGACAGAGGGACAGACAGACTCGGAGGAAACCGGTTTCACCGGAAAATGCATTTGTCATATTGCTCATGTATTATATTCGCAACTTCCGAATTTATACACGTCAGATACATTAGATTTCTTTAAAACCATGATAAATAAACCAAAATATTTTTAAAACGAAACTTTCTCCAAAAATGAGTCTAGTATATTAAGCAAAGTTTTTAAAAGTCAAACAATTTAAACATTTACCTGTCCATGACCTATCCTTTTTATGTTACCTAGCCTGCTTATACAGTTGTTAATGTTTAATTCTAAATTTAAATTGGAAATTCCGGGGGGTTTTGTGAAATGTTTATAATAAGTACCTTTTTACGTGTGCGCTTTGCATAACTATCAAATGTCTATCAAATGAAAAGAAAAAAGATTAAAGCACAATCCTTTATTTTAAAAACTTTTGCGACTCTTTGCTATATAGACAGTTTTTAAATAGCAGGATGACAATGCAAATTCCATTGAGATGACATTAATCTATCATTACAGCAAATTTCAAAATACCAGTTATCTGATGCTTGCTGGAGAGCTCAATAGAGTATGCAATTTTGTCTGCCAAGGATCACACTCGGTTTGAATCTAGATCTTTATAAACAGTTCATTTCTCCTGATCACTCTATTCTTTCAATGAGGGTAAAACATCTGTAAAATCCAACTAATAGTCCCATTTTAAGTACTCCATTCCTAGACAACGCGAGGATAATGGATAAGAACCCTAGGAACGGCAATTCCGTATGGTTGCAACGACCACATAAATAATGTAGGGAATCTTTCAAGCCCACAATGTGCAAATGTGAATATGATGGGACTTTTTGGCAAAACATCTAGACGTAGGCGTAGTCACGGACATCCGTGAATACATTAGATTAAATACACGAGATCTTTGTCACAGTAATATTAATTATAATAAATTAATAATACTAATTATCATTCATATCATTTTCATATAGTTTCATAATGCATCATATTATTACAGTAACTAGTGAATTCCGTTGTCACTACGGAATTTACTACGTTCATTCATTGCCTTATTCATTCATTCATTTATACGGGTGAGTGGTCAGTGAGAGTACTAATGTGAATGATCAAACTGGTTTTTACTCTGTCCCCTGCGCATTCGCGCCAATACTAATTCTCGAGCACTCCAACCTTAGACTTTGAGGAGAGAAGACGCTCTCTCTCCCCAACACAAATTTA